TATCTTTCTTTGTATTTTCATGTTGACTTGTTGGGCCTCGCGTTTGTGTGTTAGCGGGCCCAATTCTATGTGTGTGTGTTGTTGTTTGTGTCTCCTTTTCTTTAGGGTTTTATTAGGTCTCTCTTTGAGGCCCAATTACAACCCTAGGGGGGGGGGGGACCTATGTGTCTTTCCTTTTGGGCCTCTTTTGGGGCTTATTTGGGTCTTCATTTGAGGCCCACAAGCACCGTAAGAGGGCCCTCCTCTTTCTCCTTTTAGGGGAGCTTATTGGGTCTCTCTTTAAAAGACCCAATAAACCCCTTTTGTAGCCTTTGTGGCTTATGGGCTTGAGGGCCTCAAGTGGGCCCACCTCCCCTTAGCCCACTTGTGGGCCCCCATATAAGGGGAGGTAGGACCCCCCCTCAAGAAAGCGCCGTATTTTTTGTGAGAGATTATCGTTTTTGTGAGATACCTTCTTCGTGACCCAGAATAGGGAGGGACGGAGGGAGAGGAAGGCCGTCGATACCCTGAGGACTTCGTTCCTCGTGACGCTGCTGCCTGAGAAGTTCCACCGCCGCCGGAGACCACTGCCGCCGCCAGGCAGCTTCGTTGTCGCCCGTGGAATCGCCGCCGTCACCGGACGAAACGGTCGCGGTTGCCGCTGCAACCGCCGCCGCCTCTGCTGGAACCCCGTCACGCCGTCGTGACGAAAGGGGCTCGCTTCGCCTCCCTACGAGCCGTCGCCGAGCACTCCGCCGGAGTCTCTCGACCCCTGGTTCGTCTGCCACCTCTTCCTCCGGAACTCCACCATAAACACGCCGGAGCCACCATCCGTCGCTCCGCCCAGTCGCTGGCCGTTCGCCGACGAACGCCTGCCTGGCGCCGACGTCGGGAGAGACCCTGCTGCCGTGCCGACGAGCCAGACCCAGTCCACGCTCCGCACAGGCCCCCGCCGGAGTTTCCCGACGCTCCGCCGCCGGAGTTTCCGCTGCTCCGCTTCCCGGCGCCACCGGAGAGGGCCGAATCCTTCCAGCGACGGTTGGGTCTCCGCCCAACCACCGACGCTAGGCATTCCCGCCAGAGCGCCGCGGACGCTCGGCATTCCTGCCGAATCGCCGCTGACGCTCGGCCTTCCCGCCGAAGCGCCGCCGACGCTCGGTATTCCCGCCGACACGCCGCTGACGCTCGGCATTCCTGCCGAAGCGCCGCTGACGCTCGGCCTTCCCGCCGAAGCGCTGCCGTCGCGCGCGCCCCGCGCGCCAACCCGGCGCCACTGCCCGCGTGCCCTAGGGCACGCCGCGCGGCTTGCCGCGCGCGCCCGCTAGCGCGCCTTCGGCCCACCAGCGGGCCCACGCCCGCTAGCGTGCCCTTCGGCCCACCAGCGGGCCCACGCCCACTAACGTGCCCTTCGGCCCACCATCGGGCCCACGCCCGCTAGCGTGCCCTTCGGCCCACCAGTGGGCCCACGCCCACGCCGACTGTGCCCCGCCTTTAGACGATGACTTATGTGACTCTCAACCATGACCGACCGTCAACGTTGAGCATTGCTCTTCACCGGACGTCTTTGCCTTCGTTGAATCTCCGCTCCATCACGACCTGCCGGCTTATGCAGCCCCGACGGTTAGCTCCGTACCCCTTCCTCTTAAGTTTAATTATCTCTCGAAGGGTTTTCTCGACTTATCTCCACCACCATCAGGAGAACGTAGACAGGATAGGACAATTATTACATCGTGACTTCCGACGCTACGCCAGATTCGTCACCGTTCGTGAGCTGCAGCCCTAGGCTACCTCACGACGACCATTCCGCCGTCTATCTGGAGATGGACCGAGAGGGCCTCACACTTACCATCGTCGAGTGTTTCCCCAGGTTACCTTGGGTTGATCGTGCATATTGGTACGCTTACTTGTACTTAAGTTATGTGGTCAGACCTAGAGTCTAGGGTCCATACATTCTGATCGAATCGGTCCAGCTACTCATTTTAGGTCTTGAGTTTCATTGATCAGGTACAAGGGATCTCACCTCGTCTTGCATCATCCTCTTTCTTTTCTCTCAACTTTATATTCTCTATTTCCTCTAATTTTTCCAACACACAGACATCAATAACATCTGGATCATCAAAATCATCTAGAAGATCTATGATATGATAATCATATACTTGGGATTTCTTAAGATCATTTGATACTTCAAAAATTTTAATTTCTACTCATTGATCTTCACATGAAATTTTTGCAATACCTGTGAGAAAATCAATATTTATCTTTGCTATATGTAAAAATGGTCTCCCTAGGATGATTGATGTATTATAAAACTATCTATTAAAATCTATTTCCAGGACTACAAAATCAGTTAAAAATTTACACCTTTTAACTATCACTATCACATTTTCTAAACTACCTTTAAGATATTTCATTGATATATCAGCAAATTATAAGGTAATAGTATAAGGTTTAAGATCAATAATATTAAATTTATCACAAATACTTGCAGATAATAAATTAATACTAGCACCGGTGTCAAGTAATACATTCTGAAAAATATATCCAACAATATCACATGAAATTAAAGGGGCACCAATATCTCTCAATTTATATGGTAATTGATTTAATAATAAAGTACTAACATGCATAGATAATTTTTCTACTCTAGGTGCCCTTTTTGGTATATATATTTCTTTTAAAACTCTAGCATATTCAAGAATATGTTCAATGATAGTGAGTAAAGGAAAACTAATTTGCACATCTTGTAAAATTTTATTTATTTCTTCATTGTGTTCTTTTTTCTTTCTTTGTCTAGGCTCTAGAGCTTTAAAAAATGGATTGGTTGTCCTCTCTTTCAGAATTTCATTGGTATAATCTATAAAATCCTCTTTTACTCCTATTTGATTTTATTTTGGGTTGTCCACGTTTTTCTTTTCTTTTAATGTTTGAGGATAAGGATCAAGTAAAATCTTCCTACTCCTTAATCCATTTATTGTCTTAATATTTTCATTTCGTGAGTTTTTTCTTAAATTCATGCTACTAGACTCTCCTTACTGAAATCTTATTGTTGGGTGGTTCCCTAGATTTTCTATGGGCTGACTAGGTAGTTGTCCCTCTTCTCTCTTCTTTCGAAGAGCCTCTATAATTTGTTTCTATTACAACATCATTTGATTCATAGTTTGTTGCATCATTTGTCTCATTTGTTGCATCATTTCCATAGCATAAAGTTGGATTTAAGAGGGCTGATTTTTCTAAAATCTTTTTTCTTATTTTAGACAAAATTCAGAGTTTAAATTGGGTTTAAGTGTTTCTAGATTTTGAATATTATTTGGGTCTCTCTATGAAAAATTATTCCTCCAATTAAGATTATAAGAATTTGAAAAAGGCTCCCTATTTCTATTAAAATCGTGAGCTACTTATACTTGTTTTTGCATAGGGTGAAATGATTGATCTAAATTATAATATTGAAAATCAAAATAATTATTTTCACCATACATAGGATAAATACTATTTGAATTAAATTGAGGGTTAATAGGCTTTCTAATATTGTCAACAAGTAAATCAAGTTTTTCTAATCTTTGATTAATATGATTAACCTCATTTCGTAAATTAGAATCATTTTGATTATGCAATTCATAAATTCCTCTCTTCTTATCCTTGTCATATAAGTCAAAAGAGGCTTGATTTCTAAAATTTTCACTTCAATCTCATAAGGGGTTCTCCATAAAAGCTCCTCCACATATAGAATCAATCATATTTTTATGTTGTTCTAATAACCCATCATAAAAAATTCTATTGAGCTGCCACTAAGGTATAGTATGATGAAAACACTTTCTAAGTAAATCTTTAATTTTTCTCATGTCTCATGTAAAGTTTCTCCTAGTTTTTGAGAAAAACTGCATACATGTTTTCTCATATTTTGAGTTTTTCGTAAAGGATAAATTTTTTGAAGAAAGACTTATTCTATGTCTTTTCAACTAGTTAATTCTCTATCTAATGTGGATAGCCAATAACTAACTTTGTCCCTAAGTGTATGAGGAAATAATTTCATCTTAATAATTTCTAGTGTGACTTGAAAGAGATTAACTAAATCACAGACCATATGAAATTTTTTAAATATTGATGAAGTTCTTCTAAAAGTAATTCATGAAAATTAAGGAGCATTTTAAAAATTCCTAGATTTATTTCGAATTTAATAGTGGGTGCTAATGGGACTCAAATATTGGATGCTCTTTGAAATAAATCAAGGATATAATAATTTTTTATGGCCATAGGATTGTTCTCAGTTTGACCTGTACTTTCTTAAGGATCTATCAAAATTAAATTTTCTTTTGGATTTTTAATTTTGAATGAAATAATGAAAGAATTTTCTAACCTTGGATGCAAGGATCTTCTACCACGCATAAAAATCAATAAATTTGTGAAAAAAATTTAATAATTTTTACCCTCCTTCAGTATGCTCCAATCCTTGCCTAGCTTCTCTTTGTACCTTTTTCTTTAAAAAAAATCGGCAAGAAGAAAATAAAATAAGAGTTAATTTTTTTCTGTACTCTAAGAGAAAAAAAGAAAAATACCAAATATTATGTAATACATCCCCAGCAATAGTACCAAAATTTGACGTAACTTAGTCATTGTACTCCAAATCATGTAAATTTAAAATTTATGAAACTAGAAAATACTAATTTTCAAATATTTGAAACTATTTCTGAATAAATATATCAATTATAATTCAATAAAACATCTAAAAATAATGGTAATTTTTTAAGTCGATCATAGGGATGTAATGTAATATTGGGTAATTTTTTAGAATTTTCCTCAAAGAATATGATTTTTCAAATTGCTAGTGAAGGATTAAGCCGTCAAAATCACTAGATCATCGGCAAAAATCTCGTCAATGTGATTTGCGGAGCATTGTTACTAAAATTGTTGAACGATTCATGATAAAAAGATCACAAATCTATTGAGTAAATCATCTCTGATTGATCGACGAATAAGTCGTTGTCGAGAAGAGGACAATCTGCTAGGAGACAAGTCACCATTTCCTAAGAGCGTACCGGATGCGATGAAGAACCTCCTCCTACTACACAGACCTGAGGATGAAGCTCCCTAACATGCATCCCACTTCCATCCAGCTCCTCTCCGTCAAGTGACAGCTACCGAAGAGCCGCAAAGTCACCATTTTTTCACTCTACTGGGTGATAGCCACCGGAGACGATTCAACGACCCATTTCATTAATCTCTAGAATTCGCAAGGAGATCTAGAAATTGCCCACGTCATCCTTGTCCAAGAAGAGCCTTCAAGGCCATGGACACTACACGACGATCCTTCTGAATGCTCAGGATTCTAGTGTATCACCGACGCATTGCCACCGTGATGCCGAAACTCTATTTTTCTACTTTCAACATAATTTTTACGTCATTTAGTGATAATTTGTGTGATTTAAATTTACCAAGTTATACTTCATTTAATTACGATTCTTTTGGCTTTTATAGATCTTAATTTGATCAAGTAAATCATTAGTAATCACTTATGTAAGAATCGTCGAGCGAAAATAAAGTTCTACCCGATTTGCGTTCATCAGTCGTTGATGTCATCCTAACATCCGCACCCTTATTTCCCTTTTTTCGTAAATTTTAAATATATTTCACTTTTATTTTCTAGTATAAATTCATAGAAAATCGTATTCTTTGAGACAAAATTTAAATAATTATCTGATATTATATTACATCTCTATGATTGACCTAGAAAATTATCACTATTTTTGGAAGTTTGATTGAATTATAATTGATATATTTATTCAGAAATATTTCTCAATATCTGAAAATTAGTATTTTCTAGTTTTATAAATTTTAAATTCACGTGATTTATTATACAACGACTAAGTCACGTTACTCACCTATATAAGAGAGTGAAATAAGTATGTGAATACCCTTATAAAGTGACATTCTAAAAGTATTTCCTCATAAACAAAGGGTATTTTAGGTATTAAAATTATTGAAAACCTTGTAGGAAGCTATGATGTTGATTTAGTCTCACATCGTTTATTTTTAGAGTTTTGAGACGCATATGTAATAATACAAGATTCTATCATCAATAAGCCTCTTTATAACTTGGAGAATATGTTATCAACTTGTGTCAAGTTATGTTGATGAAAAGAATTTCATACTTTAGTGTCATACTAATTGGTTTTATGTTCAGTCATATGTTTATTTTTTGAACTCATTTTTGACTTGCAAACAATGTTTAATATTGAAAAAAATTCATGGAATAATATTGTACTATATTGATCAAAAAAAATTTGCAGACACACTTGATCAAGAAAGATATCAATAATATTTTTGTGTCTACTTGTTGGAGTTAGATAAAAGCAATCTGTCTTTTTTAAACAGCTTTGACTTTGAAAGAACTTTGGACTTTGTGATTACTTGGTGAGATAGGGTTGAATCTTATTGACCAAAAAACTTTCTCAGCTCTCTTTGTTGATCATTATGTCTATATCGTGCATGTTAAAGACATAATTTAATATTTTAATTGATCTTATGAACATTTTTTATCATCAAAATATCATACATTTGATGTTGTAATAATAATAGTTTATATTGAATTCACAAGAGTAAATATGGAAAATCATTGAAGGAATCTATATGAGATTAGATCTCTAGAGTTCATAATAATTAATTTGAATGATCATTAAAAAAATAAAATGACAATAATGATATTTCAACCCACAAGAATTGATCTTGATGATCATTGACTTTACAAATACCATAAGAATATATTTCAATTCACAATAGTTGATTTAGATGATAATTTAATATATATTGATCATGTTAATGTCTCTTGAATCCATTATTTTAACTTAGATGGTCATTTAATATATAATGATTAGATCAATTGGACATGAATCCAAAAGGGAAGAATACTACAATAAAGTCACTTGAATCACCAAAGGTTGATTATTGTGACTGTAAAAACTAAGGATTAAAATAATAATATTTGAATCTACAAGGTTAATTTAGATTATTATTGAATCTATAAATAATAGAACAATCTCTCCTAAAATTACAATAATTAATTTACATAAAATTTACAAGGACCAAAATGACATCTCTTGAATCTATAAGGTTAATTTAAATGATCTTTTGTATATAAGAATTACATAAAACTCTCTTCAAATCTAAAAATATTGATTAGAGGAACAATGAAACAAGAAAGATAAGAATAACCTCCTTTGATTACACAAGAGTTGATTTAGATGATCTTTTAAGCTACCTTACAATTTCTCTTAGATTTTTTTATAGAAAAACTTAATGTAATTCTAAAGGTTTTAGAAGGGTTAGGGGTTATCATTTTAATTCTTGTGTTACTGAAAATCTTTTACACATTAAATTTCTAAGACGTAGATGTTGAGTTTGATGTGGCTAAGTGGAATACAAACAAGAAGGTGAATTAGTTTCTTACAATTGCTGTTCAGTTTTATTGTTTTATCTATGAATGTATGCGTCAACATAAGTTCTCATACAATTTGTCTATTATGGGTACGGATTTAATTAAACTAATTTTTCTACGTAAGTTCATACTACTCTCTCTCTCTCTCTCTCTCTCTCTCTCTCTTTCTCTTCAATCCTAAGAACACAGAATTTTTCTATTGATTCACTCTTGATTATGCTATGCCTAATCTTGGTAGATCATTTATACTATAATTCATTATTTTCTTCTACAAATACAAATTAATTTTATAAGATCAATGGCCAAATCAGTCTAATTTGATCTCCATACAGATCACAACCCTCACAGATACAATTTGATTGTCAACATCATGTGTCTTGGTTTAAATACATTAACCTCCTCATAGCCCACACCATCAAATACACTACTAGTCTCTCAACACACTGTGCCTTAGCTCAAACCTCTCTCCACTCACCACCTAGGCACCTTAGGGGCTTGATGGAGAGAGTCAACTTTTAAAATTAGATGACTTAAATCATTGTAATAGAGTAAGATGTTTGATGTTGCTTTCAACTCTTTCTTTTGTACAACAACTTGACCTTAATAAATAGAGAAAGATGTTACTTAAGACGTGAATAATATGGTAGAAATATCTTTGTTCAACATTAAGTGTTGTTCTTTATAAGTGACTTCCTTATATTCTCCAACATGTTCGTGTATGTTCATCACTTGAAAAATAGCAATGTGAATCCAATTTCTTCCTAATGCTATGTCACCATATCAATGACTTTTACTTGTTCTTCAATTCAAAACTTGTTATTCTTGTATTAGTTGTCCTTTATACTTTGTCTCGAGATTCATAATATATCAACTATCATTTTTACATTTAAGACTAAGTTGAAATAATGTCATTAAACTTACCATTTTCTATATATATTCTACTAATGTTTCACTGTCCAGAATGCATGGTGATGAGCTTCGATTATTCCTTACTTTGTGACTTAGTGGTTCTCTCATAACTATGTTTAAAGCTTGTATGGAGTTGTGTGATTCATCAACGATAATCTTTGCTTCAGAGGTTGAGTCAAAGTAAGTCTATTTGATTTTTCATTTTCTTCAACTATTTTGTTGACATCTTAATATCTAAGTTACATGACAAAGACTTTTTCTCTTTTATGATGACTTTGTGAAGATGCTTCAATTCTACCAATATGTAAATCTTAAGTTCAAATCTTACCTTTGACATTAGTGTTTTAATATTTTGATGTGCACTTGTTGTGTTTAAATCCACTTTATCTAATAATATTTATAACTAAAACTTAATAAAATATTAGTATAGAAGTAAGTCTCAAGTTGAAGACAAGGAGATTGATTAATCTGTCATAAAAATTAACTTAGTTTTTATATAAAGAGATTTTAATATTTTATTAATATTTAATGAAAATAATAACATAGAAGGATGAGTGAGAAGAATAAAGGAAGGGAAGTGGAAAAAGAAATGAGGAAAAGAGAGAGAAGAGAGAGCTCTCAAGAAAGATGAGAAAAGAAATCTCTCGAAAAGGAAGAGAAAGAAAAGAAATCTCATGTGAATCAGAGAGAAAGAAAAGTCTTATGAGAGAAAGGAGAGAGAGAAAGAGAAGGAGGTCGATTGAGAGAGGAGAGAATAAGATGATAATAAAGAAATAGAGAAATATGATCAACCCATTTTCACAGTGATCATTATTCTCGGTCAAATGTGTGCTCAAGAATTCACACACATGACATGAGGTTAGTGGTAAATATCTTCACATTGTTTTAACGATTCAAGGATCATTAAGCAACTTTTAATCTCGTTGATTTCACATTCAAAAATATAAAAATATATATTATTTGTAAAATGATGAGAACATGAATACATCAAGATTCGATTATAAAAATCAATAGAAAATAAGTTGAAAAACGATCTTAACTTAATCTCAAATAAGTTTTGGAAGATTTAGAAGAAGAATGAAAATCATTCATACATAAAATAGAAATAACTTATCATAAAATATAAATAAATGACAAAAATAGGTAAGTAAATGTTGAAAGTAGGAAATAAATCATTACCTAAGTTTAGTCTACCTCTTAGGCAGCTGGAGACACTATTGTGGTGGCTTGGTTTTGTCCTAACATGTCGCATCATGTTGAAAGTCACAGAAGTATCATATGAAAGCAGTACGCTGCTTATTAGAGAGATCCACTAAAAGGAGAGGTCAACCACATTGTCACCATCGTCTGGGGAGAGAAAGGAAGAGGTAACCACTTGCTAGTGGCTTTGAGTATAGTCAGGGGAAGAAAGAACGAGCTTGTTAATCGTCGAAGGTGTTGATTGTACGAAAAGAGGGAAGAATGGATTATCATATTTATAACTATCATCAAAATTTGAAAGATAATCGAGAATATCTATTTTATCAGATAATAATCAATTATTATCTTTATATCTATAATGGTGATATGTGCGAGAACTTAAGTTTTGAGTATCATGACGCTCCGTGAGCCACTAGATCAAATGTGCTTGGTCATGTGGCATGCTCAGCAACATAAGATCAATCCGCCATGAACCGTTGCCAATCAAAAACTTAAATTCCTAGTACTATGGCACATTGTTAGCTATCAGATCATCATTTATGGCCACGTGTGTGTTGAGTGGTGTTAGATTCACAAATTACTGATGAATTGCTTAAGGCTTCTAAGATTGTGATAGTTTGTCAAGTGTAGGATTTGGCTAATCTAATGACGTGGCTTGCTGAATATTGATGGATCACACCACATTCCAGATGACTACCTTGAGACATATGAAAAAGTTTAGTCCCACATCAAAAATATTTCGACGCATGAGTCAAATATAAATTAAAGCTTATCAAAGATCCCTTCTCCTGAAATAAAATCATACATAGGACTATCTTAAGAGAAGACAAAAAGATGGTCTACCCTTCCACACACACATGTGTACGATGCTCCTTGCTCCACGACTAGTTGGCCACCAAGACATGGTAGGGGAATGATGCACATGTGTGTGGAGAGATCCAGCTCGAGCTGAGCTTGTGGCTCCCTTAGTCTGGGTCTACCTAGTAGATCGTAGTGCCCCTCTAAGGGGGTCAATTGTCGAGTGACGACTTACTAGTAGGTAGAATATTTTTATATTTTATTCTTTTATATTTTTAAATAATCTAAAATTATGCTAAGTATTTTAACTTTAGAATTTCAAAATTAATAATATATCTTATATTTATTCTACAAGTTAACAAAATAAAATAATAAAACTAATTAAAAACACAAAAATCTAGCTTTAACAAATTTCTCCATATTTCATGTTCAACTATCTAATGTGTCTTGGCTTAGGTTCTACTTTTCAATTCTACCAATGACTTTCTTTTTTTCATGATTTTCAAGTATCTTTACTGCCAATAGTCTGCCTTAGGTCTTATTGCTTTTTATTGCTTAAGTCTTGAGTTTGAATCCTATACATGACTTCATATACTTTGATTTTTTTCAAGCATTTTTCTCATTGAGGCTTAGGTCTTATGTTCAAATCTAATGTGTGACTTCACATTACTTGATTTTTTAGAAACTTCGTCACATATGTTAACACCTGATTTTTGTATACATATATGAATTATATGATGCTACATTAAATTTATCATGAAAAACATCTCAAGAATATAATTCATTGAATTTGTTATTAGTTATAGGATTAAAGTATTGATAATACTATATTTTATGTATTAATGATTTTATACCTTTATAATTATTGTATTAATTCATAGAAAAGTGCATTGTTAGGAAGAATATTTTAGAGAAAAGTGAATAACACATTTTACTGCAATGAATAAAGTGTGCATCAAGCATCATCAATGTACATTTCAAATATTTCATAAAGACATCAGACATATAACATATGTCTTCATGAAATCAATTTACTATTCAATAAATGGGTGATAAATATTCCATAAATAATTTATAAATAAATTTTTATTTGGAAATGTCAAAATTAAGGGCATCAATAGTAGATTCAACAAATGTGACTCAATTTAATAATTGTCACACATACTTCTTAGGTTATTATGATTCTTTTCAGATCTTTATTTTCTTTCTTAGGACATACAATTGACTCTCAACTTATTTAAAAAGTCACCATAATTTAACTCTAATTATATATTATATAAACATATTTTTTTATCAATTTGAAAGAGAGTTTTGATAACTTTGAATTCTAATAATTTCGGTTGATTGAAGACATGCAATTTTGATCCTTATAAAGCTAATTATCATCTAAATCAACTTTTTTGGATTCAACTCACACTATTTGATTCTTGAATGATCAAGACAACCCTTGTGGATTTAATAATAAATATTATAATCTTTGTAAATGCAATGATCATCAAAAACAATTATTATTGATTCAATGAGCATCAAAATTAACTCTTATTGATCCAACATACATTATTTAAATCCTTATAGGTTCAATGATCATCTAAATTAATCTTATGGATTTAAGAGTTTATTTTGATACTTTTAAATTTAAAACTCACAAACATCATCCATTGTGGATTCAAGGGATGTGATTATAATGTTGTAGATAAACAAAACAGCATTTCAATGAGAAGAAAGCAAGGAGAAAATAAGTTCTTCATTATACCAATCTGAAAATATGATCCTTTAGTTTAGCTTAGCATACACCATTGACATGAAAATAGTTTTTAAAAATAAAATAAGAACATCAAGTAGATTTAGATATATTTCAAATCAGGGTTACATTGTCCACAACTAATGAATAAGAATAACAGATTCATTTGAAAAGGAAAATAATTGACTAAACAATGAAATAATATACACTTGTATCAAACCTCTAAGTGAGACCACTGAAGACAAAAACACAATGGTGTAAGTAGCCCTATTCACTATAAGGAGTTGAGGCAGTTTTGGAACATAAAACAATAAGGATTCTGAAAATAGCAATAAGTGATTTATTTGTTGCTACAACCACAGGAATGTTTGATACTAACATTGAATGCCCATGAAAGCTATTGGACATAGTTTATACATAGTTATGAATATTATCAAGAACACTAACCAATTGACATGATCATCATTATTATGAAATTTTAAAATAAAAAAATCAAAATTATCCAAATATATTTTTTAATACTCAAAAAAAAATTGTGTGACAGATTAGATAAATATTGACCACTTATACAACAATATTCAAAATAATAATTCTACTTAGTAAAATTCATCAAATTTTATAATTCAAAAAATGGATCATGGACTCCTTGATTTTTTATTTCAATAATTATCAATGTTACTTTGACTTATGTCTTAATATTCATTTAACTCATGCTCGTATATAAATCTACATGTAATTGTAAATCAAACATTATGGTCATCAACCATAATTTACTCTTTTAATTGATCTAATGAGTGTTTGTCATCATGAAAATAATAACTTAAAAATGACTAATTGTTTACTTTGACAACTTATGAGATTCAAATTCAATTGGTTACTTTAATGTGAATAACAATTAGAAGTACTGATTTTGGATCATTGACATATACTTTATTGAGTAAACTTTCATGATCATATTTTACCTTATCAGTTATCATTGATTTTAATATTTTATTGATTACTTTTCATCCATGATAGTCTCTATCAATATTAACACTTCCCATAGTAATAATTTCTAGTAAAATCAACTAAATTCTATAATTCAGAGACATATATATTATTTGAAGAACTATTAACATATTTTATATAATTACGTTGAATTCTTCCAGAATTCATTCTCAATTAATTTTGTGCTTATCTATAAAAAGAATATTAATATATTTTTTACATGTAATGAGCAAGTAAAATAATTCAAACCATTGATTTATATTATGTTTTCATTGTCATCAAAACATTAGTCAATTAAGACTTCAATAATTTAAGGTTCATTCATCTTTCAAGTAAAAACCAATACATGTAGCCAATAACTATTGAGATATAGACCTCTAGCTTATTGATTCAAGTGTGTTTGATTAGAATCAATTCTCCTTAAAATAGAACTAAGAATATATCTCTTAATATAATAATGATTTATATTCATAATTAATCACCTCAATTAATATATAAATATAAAATAGGGACATTGAATAATAATATTTAATTATTAATATTAACAATTCATTGACTTATGATACTTTAAAATCCTTTCCACTTAATATTCAGTAATATTCAAAAAATTATGATTGGTTGTTTAACAATGCAGATTCAACAAAATAGATCTCAATCAAGAAGGGTTGAAAATAATTATTTTGAATCATAGACATCTAGTCCTTTTAGTCAATGGCCATTTTCGTAAATACTAGAATTTCAAATAGTAGTAAAATAAAGTAACACTTTTGCATATTAGATTCATCAAAATTGTAGAATTTGAAACATGAGAATAAATTCCTTGAAATATCTTAGGAACATATGCCATCATTTTTTTTAATTATTCACAAATTTATGCCTAATTAATTTAATGCTTGTGTTCAAGATGTCATTCATGTACATTTCACATATAATAAATAAATAAAATAATTTTATTCTTTCATTATCTTTTGTATGATTTTTACCATTTAAACTTCATATGCTAATTATCGATCCAAAAAAATTGAACTCTTATTTTTAGGAAAGATTTATAAAATAGACAGCAGAATTCCTAAGATGGCATAGGTGAAGGAAGGTGAAACAACCATAAATCTAAGTATTTACCTCTATTTTTATTTAGTCTATTTCCTAAGTGTGATGACTTAGTGAGTTGATTGACCAATCCTAGGCTAACTCAACCCAAGTTACCCAGAAAAAACTCAGCTTGTGTCAACCTAACCTAACATGTGTAGACGATTGAGGAAAATACCTAAAACTACTAAACCTAGGAACATTATTTTGAAGGTAATTTCTCATTGTCATTCTTTACAGCCTACTTTGGGATCAACTCTTGATCAAAAATAGGAAATGCACTCAAATCAACATGCCTACTAATACATGAAAAATTATTGAGAGTCTAAGGCCTCCTATTCTGAAGGTGTGCCAATTTATCAAATTTAAAAAATTCTAATTGATTATTTTTTTAAAAAATATCTAATGTCAGTCAACAATGTAATTAATAAACTAATATGTGGGCATTTTTTTAGAGTTGACCAAAAAAATAGATGTCTGTTCGAAGGCGTATCTATTTAATAATTCCCAGGTTATTCGAATTGATTAAAATTTTAAAAATATTTTTTGCAAAATAATATTTAGGTGTCAAGAACAGCTCTAATATGCCGAAGCGTGAAGAGCTAACTGCTCTTCAGCATCAGCGGCGTGCGCTCTCCCCAAAACTCCGCCGCGCTGTGTCCCAGTGTAAACCCACACAAAAATGGAGTTTGAGAAGAGGAAGGCGACGGCGCTGGTCGCCATGACCGCGCCGCAGCCCGACAAGTCTCCCAAGGGCACGCTGGACTTCCCTATCGTCTCTCTCCTCGATGCCATCAACAGCCACCCCTGCTTCTTCACCACTTCCTCGTGCTCTGGTCGCATCTCTATTCTCGCCCATCCTCCGCGGGCGCAGCCCGCCTCTGCCAACGGCACACTTTCTGTAGCCGAGGAGGAGGGGGACAAGTATTTCGCGTCCAAATCCCAAGATGATTCACAGGAGAAAAACGAGAAGAAAGAGAATGCGGAGGAGGAGGAGAAGAAGAAGAAGAAGAAGAAGGCCGGTGGGGGGAGCTGGCTCCTCGTGTCCCATGATCCCGTCGAACCCGAGGCTGTCGTGGACCTCCTCTTTCGCAGTGGGGCCGCGGATAGCCGGGGCACTGGAAGTGCCCTAGTATTCCGATTTGAACCCTTCATTTTGGCTGTCGAGTGTAAAGACGCTACTTCGGCCCAGTCGCTGGTGTCGACTGCAATTGCTTCTGGATTCAGGGAGTCCGGTGAGTGCATATTTTTCTCCATGCAGCACAACATGGCTCTCTCTTCTCTCTCCATTTTGGTTGTCGAAGGTACTTTTGATAAATTCACTTTATCCTTGCATTTTTTTCTCTTTTTTGGAGTGATAACGCCTTGGAGAAGAGTATGGATACCTTTTCTCTTCCTACAAGTTAATGTATACAGGTTTTTCTCATTTTCTTTTTGTTTCATGGCTAAATAGTTTGTGATGGCTGCGAAACAATATGATATTCCCACTCGCTTTGCCCTCTTCCCACCTCTCTTTACAAGCTTTCCTCGGAGATGACAAGAAACAAATATGTGCGCTTTCTTGTTCGGTGGTGTTACGGTTCTTTTGGGGCCGTTTAGAAGCCATACAACTAGATCCTGTGGAAGTGTTCGGGGATTTGAGATACTATAAATACCTAGGATTATGAATAGATAAGATCTATGAAAATATATATTCTTTTACTACAACACCCAACTTTTAACGTAGGATCCTACGTTGAATTTTCAGTGAGAAATGAGTGAGGTTTGGGGCAAGTGGTTGAAACTTGAGAAAGTCTTAAAAATCGAGGATTGGTTGTCAAGCTCTCGACCAGCCTTTCCAAGCATACTATTAGCCAGTGTGATCTCTATTGATAGCCAACTCTCTAATGTGAAGAGGACTAGTGCATCCAAGGCTACAAAAAATTCAATGTCCTCTAAACCTTATTACCCGATTTTCTTCTACTCACTGTAGCCTGATGTTTCTGACTCTTCTCAGTGGTTCTGAAAAAAATTAAAAAGTTTAAGATAGGGCTCAGGATGCGCAACTATAAAATTCTGGTGCGATTCACTGAGTTGAGATGATACCATCGCTTTTTGGCAATGCTGGTGACTCTCTTGTCTTTTCCAGTGACACGTCATCTTTGAAAGCATCCGTTGCAAACTTGCTTTGAAAACCAGTCAGTGATCTAGTGTTGATCTTTGACGTATCTATATATCTTGTCTGGTTCAAAGCAATCCTAGGGTGTCTTTCAACAGACTTAAATTCATTACCTTTCATGACATCTGCTATTGTCTCACTCCGATATCATATGAGTGGTTAATACATCATGTATGGTAGCTAAGTTCTATATTTTTCCCAGAGTAGTTGGACAATTGGAGTGGTTACGTTTCATAGAAAGTAACTTGGTCTTTAGGCCCAATTCAGTAATTGTATGCGTACGAGCTAGAGGTGGACTAACTAAAGTACCATAAACATAGGTCGGCTGCAGTGGCCTTGTTGTGCTTCGACCAGATACACAGTTAGGCAGGCAATGAACTGTAACATTTTCTAGGCTAGACTATGACTAGGAGTTCTTCGTGGATAAGTTTCGCCATGAATTCGGCTTTTTGGTCACAGTCCTGTGGATTCTTTATAGTTTCTAAGTCATGTTACTTCTGATTCAAGGTTTTCTGGTGTTTACTTTGACCTTACCAAGGAATTCCCCCCATTTTTATATTGTTCATTTCTCTGCATGTCATAGACTGAATTCTGGTGCTCAAATTTACTATTGTGGCTGCAGGCATAACAAACTTACACAGGCGCATTATGGTTGCAATACGATCCTCTATAAGGCTCGAGGTGCCATTGGGATGTATTGGTGAGATTATGGTGTCGCCAGAATATGTTCTACATCTTGTTGAGATTGCAAACGAGAAAATGAAAGAAAACAGAAAGAGAACTGATGCTTTCCACCAAGCATTCAAATGTGAGGTATGTTGAAGTTTGCCATTATAACTCATACCTTTTCGACTGTACATGTATATTTAATTTGTAAGCTTTCACATTCTTAGGTAGACATGGACTGTGAATTACGAATATGGACCTAGATGATTTAGGTGGTGCTCTACTGCTTCACGGCTAGGAGACAAGAGCAGAGCACTTAGATGACATCATTTCTGATATATGTGAAAATTAAAATAATTATAAACTATTTGGAGAATATTGATATGTACATACATTAAACTATTTGCAAAAATACTGTTTTTATTTTTTTAGTTTATTCCATTTAATTAAAAAAGAGTCTGCTGGGAAAATATTTTGTCGCTGTATGGTTGAGGTGATCTTGTGTCATAATTTTTTAGATGTTTTTAACTAGAGCATGTTTGAGACGTCCAAAACATAAGCTTTTGATGGACTTAAAATACCTAGTTCTACTATCTGCGGTAATTATTATTAGTAGTAATTCGTCCGAAGTACTTATTAGTAGTTATTTGTATCATACTTGATATCCTCTGTTTGAATGATTGGATTATTTGCTGATGTGAAATTTATGCAGAGTGCCTCATCTGCTGTTATTAGTGCTGATAAAAACAAGAGAGGGAATGTTGATAAAGTTAACAAGAGTATTTTATCAAAACCTCAAGTTAACCAAATTGAACAACAGGAGAATGATGTTGAAAGCTGCTCTGATCTACAGGAGTTTGTGTCAAATGATAAAAGTCTTAATGCTTCTTTGGGAAGTTCATCTACGAACTCAGGACTTTCAAATGAACCAGAAGCTGTGGACCATAGTGATGACAAGGGTGAGACAAGTGTTCAACCACGCATATATATTCCATTAGCATTGCTCTTGTTTCTTGCTTTAAATGATTTTGTTACATGAGTTATGTAACACAGGGGATGACAAAGTTGAGTTATGTGCAAGGGAAAAAAATGCTTGATTTTTGGTTTTGCCCGAAATTTAGTATTCCACTATGCTGTTTTCGATTCCCTTTATTTTTAATGTTATGCTGACTTAGGTGTTGTTGTTAGATGCTGAGACATGGTGACAAATCGCAATCAATCATCTTAAAACTAAAGTTTTGAATAACGGTTAACCATTCTATCATGGAAAGGCAAATTATACATGGTTTCTATCTGATATAACTTCCAGCAGTAATAAATTAGGAGAGGTTGATGCTTTGTAACAGAAGTGACTTTTGATGTAACCGTTCATTAGACCAAGAGAAAGGCTATGATTGTCAAGAGAAACTGAGTGGGATGGGATATTCAATAAGAAATTGTCACCCCTAATTTAACCCAAAACAGTGAGAGAATAGAAGGTTTCACGGTCCAAACATCCAGAGCACCGGCCACTTTTATCTCTGAACTAGTGTAGTGCACGATCTTTTGGAATGCTTGAGACTTTTTTTTTTCCTTGTGGGTCCTTATTTGTGTTGTTGGGCGATTTGAATTCCTGACTTCGTAGAAGAAAAGGCCAATTCTAAACTTCATCAGCAAATTCGGTTCATTGGCATTACTTACCTGATTTTCATGGGGAGTCTGATGCTTCCTTTGAAGGTGAAAAAAAAAAGAAATCTGACCATGTTGGAGAATCCCACTGGGGTCTTCTAGTTCTCACAAGATTGGGTATTTTACTGCTTTTGGAGGGGAAAAAAATTCCAGTATATTGTTCACTAAGGAGGGTGCAGGGAGAAAGGTAACAGGAAAGCGAAATAGGTTTGATGCGAGAAAAAAAATGGTGGCCTCTTGCCTTTCTTTACATTCTTTCCATTTTCCCTTTCTTTCTTTACTTCTCTTTTCTCCTCTTTTTTTCTTCCGAAACTTCTTTAAACTACTTTGAGAGTTGTTGGATCTGATGAAGTACCAGTTGTGGATTGTGGTCTGCAGTTGCAACATGAATCACCTTTTCAGATTGTCTTCTTCCAACATATTTTCTTTTAGATTCATGGTTTTTCTTACTTTATTCATCTTTTCATACTCATTTTATTCTTTTATAGATTTCATTGTTCATCAAGTTTGCCTTGAATTCAGTGTGATGCCTTAAGGTCCCTTCTGAAGGTTTGCTCAGTGGGATGCCTTAAGGTCCCACTAATGCAGTTTCAATAAAGCCCCCCTTAGAGGTGTTCGGTTAACATGTCTGATGGTTTAAGGCTCATGTGGATGCGAGTCACTGAAAACATCCATCCGTAGAACCTGCAAACATCTCCTGCAAATGCTTATAAGAGGCATAAAAAAATGAAAAAAAAAAAGTCGGAACTCAGACTAGTAGGCTTAAAAAATCAATCCCAATCCAAATTAATAGTCAAATGTAGTAAGCAAGACCGTGCTAGTCTTTATTTGCATGGAGGATGGTTTGAATGCTGTGTATGTATCCGGTTGATTCATTTTTCTTTCCTCTGTTCTCAGTTAATTTATTACCAACTCAAATTTTTTTGGCAGGAGATGATATCCTACACTGATATAAATTTCTTTTCATTATCATGGATGTGGTTCTGGTTTTTACATTTGATTCAGAAGTTTGTATCCACTTTTCTTTGGCTATGAAGGATAAATTCGTTATGGGTGCTCATTCAGCTGATTATTGTTGGGGAGGAATCTTTGAAGGTTGCTTTATACTTTATCTTTAATTCAGACTCTATTCTACAACCTCGTTTAACACTGATATTTGAATTGTCAACTCTGTTTACTTAATCATAATGATACAACTGTCAGCAGGGTTTTCTAGAGAGCCCGAGCTTTCTGTTTCAGTTAAGGTGATGACGATCACTGGCGAACCAATTGAGAAGCTCTTTCTCTGGGGTCATTCAGCATGTACTTTGAATGAGAATGGCGAGGGTCAAATTCTTGTTTTTGGTGGGTTTGGAGGCCTAGGACGACATGCGAGAAGAAATGATACTTTGATGCTCGATCCTCATTCCGGTTTATTAAGATCAGTTAGTGCACAAGGGCCTCCGTCTCCTCGTTTAGGTCATACATCTTCAACAGTTGGGAAACATGTTTTTGTGATTGGAGGGAGAGGGGATCCTTTGCAGATACTTAATGACGTTTGGGCCCTGGACACGATTGAAAACAAATGGATGTTAATGGCATGCAGTGGCAGTGTCTTTCCTGGAAGGTGATATGTTCAACAGCCATTGATTAGACCTTGAAATACGCCCGTCCGCTTCTAATAAGTTTTAGTGTCAAGGAAATCCAGCTCTCAGACTATTTTCATGCATAAATAGATCTCAGAACTGAGCTTGGTCTAAATTTATGAATGTCTGTTAAGGTGTTTTTGATATTTCAGGAATTATTGAACTACACTTTCATTGGAGGATTTAATGGCATATCATCAGATAATTCATACTGCATAATTGTTTTTCTTGCTTTTATTAATGTATTATCCTATCCTATCCGTGCACCTTTATCAGTTACCTACACCTTGGCATGTTAATGTCTATGGAATATTCTTCAATGCATTAATTCTCACAGAATACTCACTCGTTCAAGGGCAAAAAATTTCTGTTGAAATCAATTTGTCCTGAAGAAATTTTTGAGTATCACATTGCACTTTGTCCTTATTTTTTCTTTTTACAAGTTATATACCGCATATTTTGCAGGCATCGGCATGCAGCAGCAGTTTTAGGCTCTCATATATATGTTTTTGGTGGGCTTAGTGATGAGACGATTTATTCCTCCATGTATGTTCTTGACTCTGAAACTATGAAGTGGAGTGAGATTGAGATCCAAGGAGAACGGCCATGTGCTCGACACTCCCATGCTATGGTGGCTAATGATGCTAAGCTGTTTATGTTCGGAGGTTATGATGGTCAGAAGGCATTAGGTGATTTCTATATTTTTAATGTAATAGAATCTTGTTGGAAGAATCTGAAGACATCTGGAAAAGCTCCGTCTCCAAGGTTTTCACATTCCATGTTCATGTATGAAAATTACATTGGCATTATTGGTGGGTGTCCTGTCAGACAATATCATGAGGAGGTGTCTTTGCTTCACCTGGAACATTGTATTTGGAGATATGTCATTGTTGATTCTGTGAGCAGAGATCTTTGGGTTCGGAGTTCAACAAATATTCTTGGCGATGACCTCATTATTGTAGGTGGTGGTGCATCTTGTTATGCATTTGGCGCAAAGTTTAATCAGCCAATGAAAATAAATCTCCGTTCATTACTTTCTCATGGTAAGCCTGACTATGAATCTATTTCTAAACGCAATGAATATTCAAATGGCAATTTCAAGTCTTTTGCTAGTTTTTGGAATTCTCTGTTGATACCAAATGAGAGAAAGTCCCAAGTCAGTGAGCGTGCTGAGACCACTTTTGACATCTACAATGTAAGTCACGCACTTGGTGAACAAGTGCTAACAGACCAACAAAATATGCAGTTTGAATCTGCAGTTCTGAGGCTTGAAAAAAGTTATGCCAAACTTGCGAAAGACATACTTAAAAAATTCGGGTGGCTAGATCTTAATAGGAAGGTTGTGTCAAGCCAAGATGGTCTCCATATTCTTCTACCTGTTTCTTTTGCGTTCTTCAAGAACGCAGCTGAAGTATCAGAGAGACTTGATTGTTCAGGTGGTCGTCATCCGCTCGAATCAATCATGTTAAGAGGTTTTCCAATTAATGAGATGTCTGCTTCAAAAGCTTTGCACATTCTTTTGGCCTGTGGAGCATTGATACTTAATGATGATAATGCATGCAGCAAGAAAACCCATAAATGTCCTCAAAAGACTCTGAGGGATGCGGTTTGTTCTCTTGTGAACATTAAAGGACTGCTGCCAGCGCTGATGGTCCAGGTGCCAACAAGGTTTGTACATATGTAGGAATGAAAACCTTCTTCTTAGAAACCTGTGTGAACAGAACCTTCCTGTTTTGTGCGTTTCTACTTGTCTGTTGTCTGCATGCGTTCTTACCCTTCTGGATTTTAGGTGGGAATGTCTTGGAGACATGGTTGTTCTTCCAGTGACGTCTTTCAAGGATCCAGCATGGGACTTAATTGGAGAGGATCTTTGGCCAATTGTTGCTAAGTCGCTTGGTGCCCGTAGACTTGCACGCCAGGTATGCAATATTCACTAAATAATTTCTTATTCTTTTTGATATTTTTTTCTCTGTGTAACTTTCATTCTAGAATAAAATAGAATAGATATTTGTCTCGATTTGTTCATATATTTAACTGGAAGGGGAGACCCTTTCATTGAAAGTAGAATTTAAGAAATAACAGCACGTGATGACATTTTCAAATAGAATGAATAGTGATATTCGTTTTTTTAATTAACAATGTGATCAGGACACCTAAATATACTACGGAGCAAGTTTTGGAGTATTAATAACTATATTGAAGGAACAAAAGAGCATTTTCAAAGTTCGAGAGTTTTGCAAAAGTATATATTTGAAAACTAGTTACTTGTGTGATGTGACAATTGAAAGAGTTGTCGAAGGTGAATGACATGTTGACGATCAATAAAGGGTAAGATATTGTGAACTTTTGGACTAGCCAACGGATCATGCTGGATGGTCATAGTTTTTTAAACATAGTTAATGACACAGTCCCATCAGCGTTGTACTTGAAATTGCATACCCACTTAGCGCCTACCAACTTCTTTCCTGCCTGAGGGACAATGAGCCATCAAGTAACATTTGTTTCATATCTCTTCGTTCTTTGTTGCCACCCAATGCGATAATTAACAGGATGGTTAAAAGATGTATTGATAGAAGCAGTTAGTAGATTGGTTAAAAAGGGTTGTAAGTAGGTGAGACTTGTCAGTGCGATATACTCTCACAGGTAACCTTGAGGACAGCAATTGGAAAATGAAGGTCAGAGTTGGTTGGGCTTGGTTAGTATGTGCTATGTTGTCTTAATGATTCATAATTCTCATGTGTAATAAGAGCATTGTTCCCAAAACTCAGTCTTTGCAGTAATGGGAATTGGCTTAGGCTACAGCCTTGGAAGGTATGGCATGAGAACACTTTAATTAACGCTTGTTCTTGTTTCCATTGTCACAACATCCACTTGAGGGGTATAGGAACTAAGTGACTCTTGAAAAATGCTTGAGCCTCTGACAAAATAACAAGGCGGCTCTTGTAGTACTCACAAGCATTTTCAAAATGGAAGACCCTGATTTTTTTTCTTCTCAAATCTTCTTTGAATCATTTGACAAAAAATGAATTATTTGACGAACTTCATCCTTTAATTTTAGTCAATGTTTTGAATATAATGTTAAGAAACCATCAATAACTCTGATGAATTGTCAAGAACTCTGGAAAATAGGGATTCTACAAAGTCTCACACATCAAACTGGGTGGAAGATGAGCAAGAACTGGGGTGCTGTGTCAAAAAGTGGTATATTTCTTAGACAGAGAGAGCTACTCCCCTCGTAATCAACTGCTTGGGCGCGGGCGCTGAAACCAGAGTGGGGTCATGGGTTCCTACGCCTTCCCGGGATTGGAGAAGACTTCCGGGAACTGTTCTGGGTAAATCTGGGCCAAGCATGAATTGATACCAGACAAAAATAGATTGGGCAGTTTTTCAGTCACAGGATCCATGTGTTGTGTTCTGGGCCTGATCGGTTTCAGTGGGGATTGGGTTTAAATCGAGAGATAGTCCAGCAGCTGGATTCAATTCAAAAGAAATAAAAGGAGGTGAAAAGTGGTTGTGCCTTGGATGTATCCTTCATCATCTATGATTATTCTCACACCTTGTTGAAGACAAGTCATCTGAGATGCCTTGATATTATAGATGAAATAGGCATCCTACTTCATGGCCATTCCTTATTACCTGCTTTAGGATTTAAGTATTTGAAAACACAGTCATTAAGAAATAAGATTATTGAACAGTTTTGGTGTTTAGTCAGAGAATTGAATGAAAGAAGTGGAATGTGAGAGGACATGAAGCCTTTTTTCTTGGGTTGATTGTCTCTCCTTGTCCTCTATTTGAAGTGCCGATAAGGAGTGGTTAGTAGTTTTTAGTACTGCCTATACTAGAGAGTTAATAGAGTCTTCAATTATGACTAGAGAGTTTATTGTGTACTTCCAAGCTGAATTTTTAGTGCCTTCGATCTCCTATACATGAATAAGAGATTGTGTATTGTCATAGTCTATATGAAAAGGCTTCCAAGGTAGTTTCAGGTCCCCACTCCTTTGACTCATAACCTTGTTGATGGGAATGAATAAGAAAAAGTTTTGGTACAGTGAGAACCCTGTTGAAGCGGGCGTAAAGTGCCAGCCAGAACTAAGAGAGTGTGATTTGCTGGAAGGTGCCATGAGATCTTGGACTGGAGGCATTCTTGGCTTGGCGTTGTCTAATTCTTGGGGTTGCTCCCATGAGATCAGTTGTTTGTGCTTTTGCATTGTTCAGAACTGGATGTTTCTGTTGGAAACGCTCGGCCATAAGAAAATTCTGTAAAAGACTAAGGGTGTTTTGCAAAAATTGTGTAGGGTTCCTCCATATATAATGGGGGTTAGAGGTGAATGAATCTTGGGGCGGTTTCTCCCGTTTTCTCCTCTGTCCTGCATGACAGAGGTTGTTCTCCATCTCCAACAGTTTCCAACTATTAATCTTCTACTCAAGTAGATATTACGAAGCTACCTCTGGGAGGTTTGACTTTAGCCTTACAACTCTGCCGTTATAGTTTGAACTGTGCCTGTGCACCCCAATGGATATTGTGTCCGCAAGGTCCATTATTGCCATTGTCTTCAAGTAGCTATTGCCTTTGGTGAAGACCATCTAATCATACTCTTATTAAAGTAGCCATCTTTCCTGCGGGCTATTCCCTTTCTCACACGAGTTTATTACCTTTATTGAAGTGGTTGTGCAGGTTATTAAGCTTATAATGTTTTAATTATGTAATTTTCCATTCAATTGTTCGTACTGGGGTTTCAAGCCTCTGACATTTTTATTTATTACTAGGGACGGGTTTTGGCCACCGGGACAAGAGACAGCACTCTGGAGATTCTTGTGGGAGAGGATGGATTAGTTGAACACCAAGAGAATGGTATCACATATTCCTTTGATGCTACAGAATGCATGTTCTCCTTTGGAAACCTTTCAGAGAAGCTCCGAATGGCCCGGCTGGACTGTCAAGATGAAGTCGTGGTGGACTTATTTGCTGGGATTGGATACTTTGTGCTTCCCTTTCTCGTCAGGTAAGCAACATCCTTTCTTTTCCTTTCCTACATGCACGATGCTGTAATCTTGTTTTCCTTTCTGCTTATTTCTGAATAAGAAAATGAGCAGAAATAAATTGTGTTCTGGCTCAGAAAGCTGCGAGTGTTCTATATTTAGCTTGCAAAGCAAAAGGTGGTACCCGCATAGTTCTTTATTTTTTATTGTTGTGGTAACTGTTGTGGGCTTGTAATAATAAATACAGGGCAAAGGCTAGATTGGTTTATGCCTGCGAATGGAATCCCCATGCCTTAGCAGCACTTCGGCACAATCTTGAAATCAACAGGGTTGCAGACCGGTGCATTGTAATTGAAGGAGATAACCGAATGACCGCACCCAAAGTATAATTTTTTAAACTATCATCAGCTTTAAATTGTCGTTATTGTTGATTTGTATCCATACGATTTTTCCAGAATGAAAAGGTGTCTTTTCTGGAAAAGTAAAGAGTAGCGCAGCTTTGTATTTTTCTATTACACATTGAAATATGTTATCAACTCCAGCGCATATAACTTTCCCCTCTCTCTCTCTCTCTCTCTCTCTCTCTCTCCCCGTTCCTGATTCTTTACTTCCTCTGGCAATGGCAGGCTGTGGCTGATCGTGTGTGTCTTGGTCTCCTTCCATCCAGCGAAGGGAGCTGGCTCACAGCTGTGAGGGCTCTAAGGTTCAGGCTTCTTCTCTTCATTAGAGTCAGGACTCTGCTATGCTTCAGCCCAAGTCTCGCCCTACATTTATTCCTGTTTAGCTCAAGTCGGCTTCTGTCATTGCTTCTCGCTTATAATCTTACTTTTCACCAGTTTACATCGATTCATGACTCATGACATGAGATCTGTATGATGATATCTGTTCAGGGTCGCTTAAGCCTATTTTTTTATGAAGCCAGATCATAGTTGATTTCCCGTCTTCTTCTTCTTGGTCTCTTGATATTTTTTTCTGCTACCGTCACCCTGCATTTTCTTTCTTTATTTAGAAACTACTTGGAAAAGACTTAATGGTCGGAAACCTTTGATATTTGGGTTCCTGCTTCACTTACTCAGAAAAGAGTAATAATAATAATAATAATAAAAACTGGTTTATTTTCCAGGCCAGGGGGAGGCATCCTGCACATCCACGGCAATGCCAATGACTCCGAGGAGGGGGCCTGGTCAGAACACGTGGTGAAATCGGTGGCCGCTATGGCGAGGGCTGAAGGTATCATCTGACGTCACCCCCTGTTTCCCCCGCCCTTAGCGTTGACTAAATCAACAAAAGTGAAGATGATGTTTGGTGGGTTTTGGTCTGATTTGCCAGGCTACTCATGGGACGTCTCGCTTCAGCATCTGGAGAGGGTGAAGTGGTACGGCCCTCGGATTCGCCATCTCGTGGCCGATGTCAGATGCAGGAGTGTCTGTTGATCCGGCGCCTCACTGGGCCTCTTGTCGCTGGCCCAGTAACTTTTCTTAAAAAGAGGGAGAGAGAGAGGGAGGCAGCCGTGGACTCATTGGGAAGCGATCGTCTGATAAGCCCGGCCCGTCTCTGAGATGGACAAATAGCTAGCGAGAGAGAGAGAGAGAGAGAGTGGGAGCTTGAATTCATCCTGAAATCAATCTCGCCTAGGAAGAAATAGCCCAGTTGCCGAGTAGCCCTGGCCGGCCTTTTGCCAGAGACAGTCTCAGAGATAATATGACTACATACATAATTACATCAAAGTCACATCTTCCTTTCCTGCTGTGAGGATCAACAGGTTCGCCAGGAGAGAGAACAGAGAGAGAGAGAGAGGGAGAGAGAGAGAGAGCCCATCTGACGAAGATTCTTCAAGAGGTCAGATCTAGAGACCTGTTCCTCCGTCGGCGGACCGTGAGATGGTGGGGTCAACGGTCAGCTGATTAATTTGGGTCTCATTATGTGTCTTAGTCAACCTCACCCTTGGTTTATTCGCCTTCACGTGGGTCCCCGCCATAAAACCAGTAAGCGACATGCACGCCAACTCTAGGAGGGCGTCGAGAGATCCCCATAAAACCCCACCACGTGCCCTCCCCCTGCAGCATGGCATCATCCCCCCCGCCCTCCGACAATGAGGATCACGTGACCATCCCGTCTTTTCTGCCGAAGATTCCCCCTCAAAATAATACAATGCGAAGGCACCGAGGGCGACAGATCGCCGCGGCGGCGCCGCCTCATCTCTCCGGCGGCGCTGCCTCATCGCCGCTGTGCCGGCAAACCGATTCGCCCGGGGAGATGATTCCCTCTGTCAACCGGGGTCCAGAAAATGAACTGCCCCTTCAAATGTTGAATGTGACGGGAGAACACGTGCACAGCCATTTGTGTTCCACGTGGCTGATCCCGCCTAACCCTGGTTAGTGTCAGTGGCTGCTACGTCACGGCGGCTTTGGAGTGTCGGTGGTTAGGGCAACCCGGACGACGTCACACCTCACCTCAGCGAGTGCCACGTAGACGTCAGTTTGGATCATGACCGTTCAATCAGTGGACCCCCCCTCCAATCAAATTTTCCTGCACATTGCTTATGGATAACCGGCTGGGGCAGATCTCGGAGGTCCACCCATCAAAGGGCCGTCGGTCGAGCGGACCTCCATACCGAAAAATACCCAATATGGGTCTGAGATCCATTCCCTTTGAGAGTCTTACAAGGGCATGATGGTATTTTAAATTAACCTGCCACGTGCCTTTTATGACGTCTCGGCATCTCCACCCTCCCATTTAATGGTACGGTAAAGCCGTAGGATTGATCCACGTGGTGGGCCGCGATGGAACACTTTAGCCACTAGCCTAGGGAGAGTGAGAGTGTGAGTGAGAAGGGAGGGCAGGAAAGAAATTAATCAGAGGGGGAGGGGGTAGACGCTAAAAAAAAGGGTCTGCTGTTCTTCACTGACGCCCCAAGCATAGAGGATTATTTAAAGATCCCCAGGGAGGAAGGGAGGAGAAACTCAGACCGGAGAAGTTCGCCGGAGGACTTTCAGTGACATTAGAGCGGCGGCGGCGGCGGGGATGGGTTATCTGGGGCTTCTCTTCTTCGTCCTCCTCTCCCTGTCCGCCGTAGGCTTGAGGCCCGCGTCGGCTGCGGATGAGGCGGAGGAAACTGGTTTGGTGATGAACTTCTACAAGGACTCATGCCCTCAGGCGGAGGAGATCATCAAGGAGCAGGTGGGGCTGCTGTACAAGCGCCACAAGAACACCGCCTTCTCCTGGCTCAGGAACATCTTCCACGACTGCGCCGTTGAGGTCATCCTCCTCACCATTTTCCCCTTTTTAGATTAGATTCTTCCTCTTCTTCTGCTTCTTCTTCTCCGTCCTCCTCTTCTTTACTGAGGGATTTCTGTCTGGTAATGGCGGCAGTCGTGCGACGCTTCCCTGCTGCTTGACTCGACGAGGAGGACGCTGTCGGAGAAGGAAGCTGACCGGAGCTTCGGGATGAGAAATTTCCGGTACCTTGACACCATCAAGGAGGCTCTCGAGAGGGAGTGCCCTGAGGTCGTCTCCTGCGCCGACATCCTCGTCCTCTCTGCCCGAGAAGGCATTGCACTTGTAAGTGACCCTCTCTCTCTCTCTCTCTCCCTCTCTCCCCCCTTCATCCTCCCCCTCCCCGTACTCTGTGAGCTCCCCTTCAGATCTGTGAGCCTCCCACAGTCGCCATCAATGGCGGTCTCTTCTCCCCACTCTCTGGGTCTCCTCTAAATCCGTTCCCACAGCCGCATGCATTATCTATCTATACCTTTCTTCCTTTTTTACCTCTCTTCCAGTCGGTCTCTTCTCGTCGTTTCCATACCCGCCGCCTCCGAGCTCCTCTCTCCTCTCTTCTCTCTTCTCTCTTCTTTCCATCCATTCGATCATTTGCTCATCTGTGGTGGTGCAATCGGCGATCGTCAATATATCGGCAGGTGGGTGGCCCGTACATCCCGCTGAAGACGGGGAGGAGGGACGGCCGCCGGAGCCGCTCCCCCGAAGTCCTGGAGGAGTTCCTCCCCGACCACAACGAGTCCATCTCCTCCATCCTCGACAAGTTCAACGCTCTGGGCATCAACACCGCCGGCGTCGTCGCCCTCCTCGGCTCTCACAGCGTTGGCCGCACCCACTGCGTCAAGCTCGTCCACCGCCTCTACCCCGAGGTCGACCCGGCCATCAACCCGGACCACATCCCCCACATGCTCAAGAAGTGCCCCGATTCCATCCCCGATCCCAAGGCCGTGCAGTACGTGCGCAACGATAGGGGCACCCCCATGAAGCTGGACAACAACTACTACAGGAACATCTTGGATAACAAGGGCCTGCTCATGGTGGACCACCAGCTGGCCTACGACTCGAGGACCAGGCCCTTCGTGCTCAAGATGGCCAAGTCCGAGGACTACTTCTTCCAGGAGTTCTCCCGGGCCATCCAGATCCTCTCCGAGAACAATCCCCTCACCGGCACCAAGGGCGAGGTCCGCAAGCAGTGCAACGTCGCCAACAAGCTCCACTGAGTGATCATCATCTCGCTTCCTCTCATTCTCTCTCTCTCTATTCCTTCCCCAATAAACAACTCTCGCTGTAGTAGTCGCTCTGGTTTCCATTGTTTCTTCTTGCTTCTCTTGTGGTAGGAAGGAGCGGGGAGTCTCAGACAGCCGTCTCTCTCTCTCTCTCTCTCTCTCTAGGATCTCCGCCTGCCCGGGTGACGGGTTGTTCTCTTGATGTGCTGTGGGTCGACGGGAATGTGGTGGTGGGTGTTGGATGCGTGTATGTAACGGACGGTGGAGGGAGGTGTACGTCATTTATGGTAAATGAGTGGGTTTTTCCCCATCACTTCTTCCATTACAGCAAGCCTCTCTCTCTCTCTCTCTCTCTCTCTCTCTCTCTCTACTGTGGGCGGAGAGATGTGACTGATGGAGGACGACTACCATTCAAGACAACCGTGTGCGGTTTTTCCCCGTTCTCGCACTGCGGATGGAGAGAACAGGAAAACAAGGAATCGGTGTCATCCGTGACCAAAGGATGGTCATTTTATGCATTCTTTCCTACCCCCTCTCCGATATCACCGCTTCTCTCTCTCTCCACTGTAGACGGAGGAGGGATGCCCACTGATGCGCACGACTACCATTGAAGACAGCTGTATGGGTTTTCCCCTTACTCGCACTGCGGACGGAGAGAAGAGGACAACAACGAGGGAATCAGTGTCATCCTTGATCAAAAGATCTGCCTTTCATACATTTCTTCCCTCCCCCCACCTCTCTCTCTCTCTCTCTCTCTCTCTCCTCTTTACTGGTGGCCGAAACGGGGGGGGGGGGCTTTAAAGTGGAAGGGAATAACGAAGCTGCGTGGTGTAGGAGAGGAAATCATGGCAGCGTTCGGGGGGGGGCGGGGGGGGGACCCTCAACACCTGTCCTAACCGCGGTTGTAGGTGGCGAGGGAATAAATTGGGGGGGGCTTCACGGGCGACCGTGAACAGGCGGTGCCGGGGCGGCGCCGGTAGAGTTAAACCCTTCGAGCCCCGCCCGCCATCACATGTGCCTCCCGGCCCCACGCCGCTCGAGCCTCCATTAACTTCTCGTTTACCACCATGAAACAAACTAGAACGCCCCCACCATATAGACTTACTGAGAGAATAAGAGAGAGAGATAGGGGTGAGCAGCTGGGGGCCTGTCTGGTGTACAATTATTGGAACTAGGATGAGAGGCTGTGCCCAACATCTGTTTGATCGCGAGATGATGAGACTAGCGGTCAACATCTGTTTGGTCCATCTTTTCTCCCTTCTCTTTAATGCTCCTCGCCCTTGTAAATCCCCCGCCAGAGGTTACAATACAACTAGACCGTCGTCGAAGTATAGAAAGAATAAGAAAGAATGGTCGGAAGGTAGTGCCCATCTCAGCTTTCATGCATAAGAAAGAATGACTGGAAGGTGTTCTTCGAACTAACATACCACGTATTTATATTAAAGCACTAATTTTTACCTTGTTAGGTCCACCTGTCCGAAAAACCAATTACGACCCGACAAAGCTGGTGCGTTTTGTAAGCCTGGGTCAGGCGAATCTATGCACTAAGAATTTCCTCTACCAGGCCAGGCACTGGGCCTCCCATGGTGATGAGTGGAGTCGGCCTCGCGTAGTCCATTAAACGACACCTATCTCTCTTTTCCCAACCGGGCCCAGTGATTCGAACCCATTCAGTCCGACGATCATCATTTCTAGAAAGCCCACCCCGACCTGGGCAAGGATATATTGTACCTTCAAAATATTGTAAGCACCGGCGCATCTGCAGAGAGAGTGGGTGAAGAAAACCTACTAGAAATATGGCCGTCATTAATGATGGAGGAATCCTGTTTTATCCATTTCTGCCTTGTTCTTCTTCTTTCTCGCACCAGTCCAAATAATCACATGTTGGGCCTGCTGGGAACTGCCCACTTTGCCAACTGGGGCGATCATCTAAATAAATCAGCCTTACCTCACTATTGTTTTTAATGTGAAATTTAGGGCCAATTCACTTCCACTAACAAAAGGGTGGTCTAAAAATTACTTTTGTTGGCTGTTTTCATTATAAACAGTTCCATATTTGCTCAGATTCTCAAGTATAGTACAGATGAATCTTATGGTGACCCATTTTTGAACTTAAACAACCTGTTCCACTTAATGCCAGGTTGCTTTCAGTTAGTTCAGTCAATAAATCTGAACTGACATCAAAGTCAATGATTTCTCAAGTTGTATACACTCTATTTAAGTCATTTTTCAAGGAAATATCTTAGGTCCTTTTGAGGTGTTTAATGCGGAAGAAAACAGGCGACAAAAGATTTTAAGCTGAACGAGGGGTTGACTTCAACAGCTCTGGATAAGAGAGCTACGGTTTTCAATATGATATGCTTTGCCTATCACTCAACTTCAAGATTCTCGTTTCTATTGTTGTGGTGATTGTTTCTTCTAGATTCTCGTTGCTGTGTTGATGGGCTGGATTGCTTTCAATCGCCATCTATTTTACCTAGGCGTCAATCTAAAAACTAGAGCCAGGTAATCTAGAGAGAGAGAGAAGTAGTAAAGTCTAATGTACGCACGTAACGGGCAATGGTTTCAGATTCGGTTATAAACCCGCCCGTCGACATGGATATACAAAATTTCGATCTTCACAATTTCCAGAACCGGGGTGGCTTAACTCATTCCATCCATGTCTGGCCGGTAGGTAGAAGAGCCCCCATGTTGCCTTCTTTCTGTGTGGCGGGTTCCAGGTGGACTGGCAAGAACTTAGAGCAGGCCCTCGAAGATTAACAAGCTTACAAGGAAATGACACAGACATCTTGCCTACAAATGGGGCAGGAGCTATTCCTCACCAGCCACCTATCTACACAAGCCATGTGATAGAGGTGCCCGCAGCTGGGTAGTCTTCTGGCGCCCTGTCCATCCACAAATTCCTGCGATGGAAAAGGAAAAACAGGTCATTGCTCCCTCTCTTTCTCTCTCTCCACACAAGTCACACCGCATATAAATAAACGGAATTGCAAGCCTCTTTCACTCCTCTCCCTCTCTCTCTAGATATATATATACCTATTCACGGAGCCGCATACAGTAAATGGGTAAATGGAACTGTGAACTTGTCGCAGCTCTCTTTCTCTCTCTACACTCCAGGTGCTTCACTAGACTACAGGCCCAAGGTAGAAGCAGAGCGGTGAAGCACCACAACCATTAGATGAAGATGGACTGACGCTGGGAATCGCAACGGCCAAATGCGATGAAACGCCGAAAAGTCGGTAAACATAGAAATCAACGGGATGCAGATGGTCTTTCCGGAGATAATATTAATCTCTTCTCGCTTACCTGCAGGCAAATCGCGCATGGTCTCTCTCCGAATTGGCTTGCTGACAGACTGTGGAGTTTGAATTTCGGCAGCATCCCCATGGCCTCGGAAGATATGCCCTTTATGCTGCTGGTATCGAAAATATCGGAGGTCTCTCTCTCGGAGGCGTCCAGCGTGCTCACTTGCCACTGGTAGGCCTTGAGCATCGCAGGGCTCACCAGCTCCCTGAAGGCCTTCCCGCTCACCAGGCTCGCCAAAAGGGAGACCTGAATCATGGTGGATCATGGGAGAAAATTAGGATTTTTTATCTGCAGAGGAAGCAAGGAGAGAGGACTGTGGGGAGGAAGGAGAGAGAACAGAGGGAGAGCCAACCTTGGAGGATGGGTCTCCCTCGAAGGACGCCTCCAGCAGCTCCATAGAGACAACTGCACCGGCCACCGCGCCAATCGCTGCCCCACGCAGCAGGCCCGTCTCCGTCGTCTGGCCCTTGATAGCCCCCGTAATGGCTCCCACGATTGCTCCTCCTGCCGCAGAGAAGACGCGTCAAGAAACTCTGATACATGTCTATTCATGCACTCAGACAACATGCATACGTACATAGAGAGAGAGAGAGAGCTGACCAGGGGCGAAAATGCAGATGAGCCCCGCAAAGGCGAGTCTCTTCGAAGCCCTGCAGCAAGACCCAATCCCAAAACCATGATGCGCCGCAGCGTTTCGTGACGGAGATCCCTGCATCTCCTCCTCCTCGAGGCTTCCTTACTACCCCTCTCTCTCTTCCTCAGCCAAAACCTGGGGGAAACTACTGCCGAGGTTTGTCGAAGAGGAAGATATTGTCAACTAATGAGAGAGAAGGAAGCGGCATATATATAGCGAGAGGGGAAGGGGCTGAGGGAGGGCTCTGGAGATGCGTTGGCATTGAAGTGGGTGAGCTGAAAGGATCACTTGGCAACATCAAAGCGCGCTGTGCATGCATATAAACATTCCTCAGAGCCACTTGGAGCTTCGGCCGTGGCCATGGTGGGGGAGTTGGTGGATCGGGGAGGATACCTAGGTATGAAGCCTCGGAAAGCCACAGGAGCCGGATTACCAGATACAGTGGGCTTGGAGAGACGGAGATATTTTATTTAGGAAAATATTGAACTCGATTTAAAACGTATTTGGGAAAGATACTGAAGAAAAAAACCGTCTCAATCGAATTGTAATCTTATATGGAGAGTCGCAATGATTTCATCGCCATCGGGCTCCACTTTGGCATGAAACCAGTTGGGGGGGGGGGGGGGCATGAATTAGCCTAAATGTATTCTATTTAATGGTTTTTTTCTATTAAAAGTTTAAGCCGGGATATTTTATAGAAAAGCCGGGAGAGAAGATCGAGCGGCGGCCGTGGCGGTATAATGGGGACTCCTCCCAAAACGAGGGGAGATGATAGGAGGTGGGGCGGTGGGGCTCATCAATGGGCATTTAGGTGGAGACAGGGAGGTCGGGAGGCCTCCGCATCCGCCTGTGGTTCTTCACGAAACAGCTTGCTCTCTGCATGGATCTCCCATTAATACGTCTGCAACAGATCTGTAGCCATAGCTCGCCTAGCAAAAGGCCTACTCCCTCTCTATCATTCACCGTGCCTTATCCTTGGCCATGTCTTCGTCCAGGCTTGGTGAGTCGTCCTCTGAGGGAGGATCGACGACATCAATATTCTTCAATATTTGGCTATTACTCCCGATACTCTTGTTCGGATACTCGGCCGTATAAGAGTTCTGGCAAGGGGCTTTTCATATCTATTCTCAACAGTAAGTAGTATCGGGGGGATATGACTCACTCTCTCTCTCTCTCTCTCTCTCGCTCTCCCTCCCAAAATCGATCATCTTTCTTTTTTCTACTTGTCTCCATCTCTCACTTATTACATATTCTCTCACTTGGTCTTGGCTTGTTTCTCCCCGCAAATTAACAATCTTTCCCGGTAATATTGTCGCTTTTCACAATCTCAAGGCTCTCTCTTCCTCTTCCTCTCTCCCTCTCTCTCTCTCTCTAGACCCGCATTAAACTCTGATTCCGTCTCCCTACCGGCGTCCACATTCCCCCTCTGGGATCTCTGATTCTGGGTACTTCGCAACCGATGCCAACTTATGAAAGAGACGGCCAACGGGGGCGTCCCCATCTCATTCAGCGAGAAAAGGAAGCCTCACCGTCCCTCATCGATTCTCCTCGACGGTCTAAATCCCCGCCAAAAGAACGATCATCGCCGTGTTGAAGACTACATGCAGTCTGTATGTTCGGGTCCTCCCTCAAAAGAAGAACACAGAGAGAGCCCAGCGGCGGAAGTAACCATCGGAGCTTACGAAGGTGGTGCAATGGCTGCTGCGTGGAGGCGGTGAGCACAGACGTGGAGTTGTATTCTCCTCTAGTATTCTGGGATGTTCGCGTGAAAGTATGGAAGTCTCCTCCGGTGAGAGGCGATTCGATATGCTTCAACGCTGCTCCGACGTAGGCGAAGCGACGGTCAAGTGACGAGAAGAGGTACTATCGGGGAAATCTCCCGCGAACGAGAGAGAGAGATTGTAAACTGGGTGTTCATGTAGTCACCGGCTAGTTCGACCGTCTGAAAGCTGGTGTCGACTGTAAAATTTTTCGATATAGACTGTAAAATGCCCTGAAATGGTTCAAATGACAAAAAGAAGCTTGATCCAGGGCATGGCTTCACATCTTCTCCACGCAATGGCCGTCCGACGCAACCCCCTCTCGAGCTGCGGAGATGAAAAACCTTTGGGATCTCAAACAGTTCCACCGGACAAATCAGCGAAGAGCGATTCTCATGGGACTTCACCTCGTTGATTCACGAATTGGGAAGAAGATGGCAACGTCGGGTTCGCTTCTTAGGGTTCCAGGAGCCCTCCGTCTTCGGAGCGGGTGGGTGATCCAAATCTGACCATCAAAGCTGCGGACTTTCCTTTTGAGGAATCCACGGAATCAGAGGGGACCTACGAGCTCCGAATATTCCAATTCTCAGGGTAGACTTTTAGGGCCCCAGCTCCATTCACGAGACCAAGTCGCTGACCAACACTGCGGTAATACTACGGGCGAGTGATCACACCCTCCCCCCCCCCTCCTTTCCTCTCTGCTAATTGCGTCTTCTTGACAGCGACTGTGATGTTTGTTTGCTGGAGAGAGCGAGACTTTCAGCGGACGAGCTTCCTCTGGTCACCATTAGGCGGAGGGGAATAATGGTGTGGTGCGGCGCCGCGAGGATGGCCTTGGCGCCGGCAGTGGACACTCGCGCCGTGCGGTCAGGGTCTCCGCTCGCCATCGCGGGCTTCGGCTTCGTCTCCCGATCGCGGTTGCAGCCGTCGGCTGCCGCGGCTTCCCGGCCCGCGGCCTTCGCCGGGGTGAGAGCCGTGGTCTCCATGTCGACCTCCGCGCCTGCTTCTGGTGAGCGAATCCGGTTTTGAAAATCTTTTTCGCTGTTTATGTGGACCAGATTTCTCTGCTTTCGGCCCGTGTCTCTACCGATTTACGCAGCGCGGCTTTGATGTGTTGGAGATGCGTGGTCGATTGTGTTGGGCTTTATAATGAACATTGACTGTTGGTTCTCGGTGCCATCGACATGATTAGTCATCTATCTTTCCTATGTGTTCTCCATTTGCTTGCCTCTTTTCTCTTTTCCGTCGATGGCATGCAAAAACCTAGTCCTGGTCTGTAAAAATCTCCATGGACGCTATAGCTTGAGGAAGTCACTGCCGATAAACTTGTGTGACGATGCATTTTAAACGTACGTTTACAATTTCTACTTATTGGTTGAAGTGTGAGACGCCCCTGTGATCTAAATGGGAGCTAAGTCTGAAAATGATGTTTCGCGGAAGATGAACCTAACCGAATGAAAATAAGTTGCTGTCCTAATTTTAGGAGGCATAACATTAAGCCTAAAATATCTAAGTTGGGTGCTTCCTACTTGAGGAACAACTACATGTCAAGTGGAGAGTATTTCTATGAAATTAGAGAGAATACCGCACTGCCTCTTATTTGGCTCTCCCCTAAAATCTCGAGGGGCTAATATACTGGAAAAAGGAAAAACTGGCTGATTTTTATTAGAAAAATAGCACTAACTTCATTCTCGAACTGTCCGTACGGTAACCGTGCTCTTTTTATCTCTCGTATTTGTAGATAGTAGACCCTGTGGCACACCTTCCGTGGCATCAAGAACACATTGGTGTTACCCCATTAGTCTTGTCCCTGATTTTCTCTTTTCTTTTATTCTTTTCTCACTCAAAAGTGATTACTTTTTCTGTGTTACCATGTAACCTCATGTTATTCGCTTATTGCTCTCTTTCTCTCTCGCTCTCTCTCTCCCCTTTCCTCCCACCCACATGACCTCATGACTTATTACTTATCATGGGACTAGACTCATATCATTTTCCTTCTCTGTCTAAAAGATGCGTCCCATTTTAAACGATAGAGAAACCTTTCTTCTGCGAGTCACGCCCTCAGTTAAAGATGTCTCCAATGCATTTCAGAAAAAGCAACTTCGGGTATTTGGATTTCTTTCGTTACTCAGAGGCCTTTTATCATCCCTTAGGTACCTTTCCTTTAGTGTGAGGAGTGTCTTACTCCCCAAAGCAGCGTGCTATCCTGGATTGGTTTGAAGCTACCTTCTCATGTTAACCATCTAGACATTAGCTTCATCCTTGTTTTTTTTTTTCTGGTTTGATTTGCCAAGTGAAGTCGTTGAAGTTTTTGGTTCCTTGCTTACATAAACCACACGACAATAATTGTTAAAAAGTAGTCTTCCATGCACATTTAATGACAGGAAATTGATTCACTTTTCTTTGAGATCGTTCAAAGGGTTTAGATTTGAACTTTAATCTTTCAATTTTAATTTGACCAGTTGGAACTCGGAGAAAATTTGATTCGTATCTTCTTCTCACAAATGGTCAAATTTACTTATCTGTCTAAAGTAGCCTCCCATTTTAAACGATAAAGAAACCTTTCCTTCGTGAGTCAAGCCCTCAGTTAATGATGTGTCCAATGCATTTCATAAATTGCAACTTGGGGTATTTGGATTTTTGTCGTCAGTCAGAGGCCTTCTATAGTTCGTTTGATACCTTCCCCTTAGTTTAAGGAGTGTATTACTCTGGATTGATTTGAAGCTACTTTCTCATGTTAACCAACGAGTCATTGGACTCATCAGTGTTTTTTTTATTTTCTGGTTTAAGTTTTTAAGTGAAACCACTAAATTTTTTAGTTATTTTTTTGCATCAATTACAGGACAATAGTTGGTAAAAATAGTCTTCCATGGGAATTTAATGACAGGAAATTGATTCACTTTTCTTTCAAGATCATTTAATTTCTTTAGGACTGAACTTAAATCTTTCAATTTAAATTTGGCAAGTTGGAACTCGGAGAAATTTTTGATTCGTATCATCTTCTTCTCACACAAGTCCTCGACTTTGTTTTGAAGGCCATGTCAATAATTTACCTTGACACAAGATGGTAAGATTTTGTAATCGATCATCTAATTCATCCAATAGTTTTCTATTTATCTTCTTCCGCTTATCTTCTGACATGTCTTGTTGTTAGCATATCTAGTGGTCGCCATATCTAATGGTAAATGGTTGGGACCCAGCGACAGATGATTGGGCCTATCTTTTTTTTCAAAATTATCTTGTTCCGATAAGTCAGATTAATATGAATATTCTGTTTTTAATTCTGGATTTCATCTTTTATGCTCACACATATGTCAGACAAATATTTGTTGACGCACATCTTGGGTAACAACTCTTTCAATGGTTTCTATTCATCTTTTTCTTCTCATCTTCTGGTTTTTCATTATCATGCCTAATGGCGAAATGCAGATATTGACAATACAAGGTTTCCTATGTCTCCTTTCTAAATCTACTGGTTCCAAGTGTCCAAATTGACTGCTAATTCTAGTATTAGATTCCATCATTCATGCACGTACGTTCCCAGAACTCATGTTTTGGTGAGCAACTATGGTAACGTTCTTTGGTGCGTGATATTTTAGCTTGGAATTTGCTCCTAGTTCCTTGAGAATGGGAACCTCTATCATATGAGCGTTTTATCCAGGCTCATTCATATCAGTTTCCCATTCTGAATTACCTTTAACCTTTTTCCGTGTCAATAAGGTTCTCCTCCTGAGATTTCTCAAAGTTAGTTGGGACGTGTGCTAACATATAACTATGTATACACATTCAACCAATACCGAGGCTCAATCCTCTACAGGCAAGATACCCCATTACCGTTCTTATTCTCCCTTTAAATCCGACTGGAATGATGCTTCCAGACTTCCTTCTACCTTACCTGGTGTCCATTCCTTGCTGGCCTTATCTCAGGGGTGTCTCACCATCTGTGGATAGCTTGGGGTGGACTTACTGTGTTGGAATTGGTTTAGATGTCAAGATCGCTTGATGTGCTCTTGATTGGACACTTGGGATCAGTTAATTTGGAAAGGAAGAGGAGGGGAACATGGAGTTGGAGCATAGTGACAGGGTTTCTCCCGCCCTCTTTTTTATCTTAGGTTCTTTAGATGCACTGGAAAAGCCACGGTTCCTTTGAAAATGCTTGGCTTGACCAGATGAGCCATCTGAACCAAGTTTAATTGTCTGATGATGGAGATGGCTCGTGACAAGATTACCATGTTGACATGCTGTTGTTTTTTGTTACTAATTTGAGACATTTTGACATTAAACGACAACCTGAAAGTTTTGGAAAGATGTATAGCTAGTCTAAAGTAAATTACTTACGGTTGCTACAGTGTTGCTAAAGTTAGAAGGCTGCCTTGGCTACGTAGGAAAGTGACGTGTGTGGAGTTCTACACATTACAATCTTGTTTATGGGCATAGGAAATGCACCATGTTGCTTGATCTCATGGATTGAAGGCACAATGGAGTGAATTTTGTGACAGGACGTTTTCTTGTCACCTGTTTATACGCTAATTTTATTACATAATTAGCTTATAGGTCAAATTTTGTATTATTTATAAAATTTGAACAACTTTTATTTTGTGAGTTTGTTTGCTTTCTATTTTTATAATATTTATTATTTATTAATTTTTTATGTCTACAGTGTTGCCTAGTTTCATCACCCTGTTTTTCAAACCTAAGGATGTAGGTTCATGCTTTTCTCATTGATGCCATTGTGGCAATGGCATCGTTATTGTGGTCATAGCAACTTTTTCCGTTTGTTTCCACAAGAAATGCCTCGCAATTATCTCATCTGTCCACTGAGAAAATCGAATTTAAATGATGATGATGATGATGGATTTTTTTTTATTTCAGTAAAAAAAGAAGCGGTTCAGACAGACAAAGCACCTGCAGCATTAGGACCATATTCGCAGGCTATTAAAGCCAATAACCTCCTCTTTGTTTCTGGTGTCTTGGGCCTTGTTCCTGAGGTTTGCTTTTGGTTTGACACTTGATTTGTCTGTTATGCCAATGCATATATTGCATTATAGGTGCTGCCGTTCTTGGTTCTATCTAATAGTTTGCAGTTTTTATTCGCAGACAGGTAAATTTATCTCAGATGGTATAGAGGAGCAGACAGAGCAGGTAACGGGGATGTTGATATCTTTTCTACTGATTCAGTATATTTCCGTTTTATGCCTTGCTATTCATCTATGCATCCCACATCTTGAGTTATGCTGGATACTTTAATGTGTAAAAGTGGACGAAGGGAATGCTCAGTAATTTTCATTATATCTGCTGGTTACTTTTTAATAATTTTCACAAGCATCACTTACCAAAAATCTTGTAGAACGGTCTTATCAGTCAAGAACTTTGCACCACTCCGTTGCAATTGGTGTCGTTCTCGTCTCGTCTTCTTCTGGATTTTATAGCTTTACATATCGTCATTTGTCGTGTGAGAATTCAGGTTTACTTTCCCCTTTTTTACTGAAAATCAGAATTGTCTTTGCCCAACTATCATCTATGCTCACATTCAGTGGTCTTTCCATGCGTCTTGAAGTGTAGGTACCAATAAGCTAAATAAACTGCTATATTCTTCGTAATAGTGTAGGCCAGGCTTAGCTTGCTTTCTTCACTAAAATAGACTCTTTGAAAAAAAATGCTGTGTTGCTCACCCCCTCTGGTCTGGGTGGAGTTTCCTCCCGCACATAAACTGAGAGAAATTCCTTTCGGTGCTCTGAACTTAACATGGTAGATGCAAAAAACCTGCAGGTATTGAAGAACATGGGAGAAATACTAACGGCAAGTGGTGTCGGCTATTCCTCGGTTGTTAAGACAACTATCATGTATATGGCCGGCCGTTCATCTCTCTTTGTTGGGCAGTATTTTCTTAAATTGGGGTTTAGTTTCTTAGGATGTCCTTCTTTGTGCAGGCTAGCGGATCTTAATGACTTCAAGAAGGTGAACGAAATATACGCCAAATGTGAGTTAATTTTGTGATGACTTCCACTTCCAACCTGCTGTTGCTGCTGCTTCTGCTGCTTCTGCTGCTTTGGAAAATATACTAATTATGTTATGCATCTAACAAATAACTTGTTTCTTCTTGTCTTCTCTTTTTAGACTTCTCATCGCCTGCTCCTGCAAGGTCAACTTATCAGGTGGCGGCACTGCCCATGGACGCCCGGATTGAGATTGAGTGCATAGCGGCACTGTAGCTGTGCACGTGTCTTGTGGGGGGCCCTCCATGCCGAAAATAATCTGCCTCATTAAAGTCAACGTGGGGGTACTTGTGTTGAACAACTTTTGAGGATTCAATCAAATTCGCAACCACATGGACTTCTAGGATGTGGGTTATTTCGAGTGAGCCTAATACAAGGTAGAAAACACCAGGTTAATCTTTTAAGAAAAATGGTCAACGCTTAGGGAGAAATGAAGGCTAAGGAGCATAGATGTTGTTCATAGATCGAAAGAAAAGCTAGAGTTGAGCGTTGGCTCCTAATGATGGAAGAGTCAACAGTTGACACGGATGGTTTTGCAATGATTAGTTAGTCTAAAATGAAAAGATAGCAAATGTTGCATATTGAGCAATTCTCTGCCGTTAGATGCCAGGGCTTCTGCAACCTCTAGTGAGAGATCTTTAGTAATAGAATGGAAAGAGGAAGAATAAATTCTCAGCCTTTTAAATGCTAAATGCATTTTCAAACTTGCAAGATATTATAAACATCACAAAGTTTAAATGAGTAATCAAAGCATCTCATTGCAGCTTTATCCATAGATGAAGAGTTGTAAGTAGTTTACTTGTCCTCATTCATCCATGTCTGCTTCTCGTTGGAAAGCTTGAGAGATTTAGTTTCTATGCTGAAAAGGTTTTCTTCATTTTTTTATATGATTTGATTTCTTTATTGACGAGAGAGCTTTTCATACTCAAAAATGCTTGATTGAACCACTATAAATTCTGTCAACCCTTTTTGCCAAGTATACCTTGAATTGAGTAGAAGATGAATTGTCTGTTGACTGTTTATGTTGTAAAGGTCTATTCAATTCAATGAGGCCACAACAAAATCAAAAAGGATGAACTGAATAAGCCTCATTTTTTCTTTTTAAAGATGCAATACGACAATAATAGATTCAAAGTAGGTCATGAAAATAATATAATGCTAGTGCATCAAGTCCTTATGGATAATTAAGGATCAAGTCTCCTTTAATTAAGGATAATTAAATGATATCATACCTCTAGAGAGTGGACCAGGCTAAGAGAGCAAAATTAATACAAATAATGTCTATATGCTTTTAGCACTCCCTTCTAAATTTATGGCTTTAGACAACCCAAAACTAATAATTTGGTGCTAGTTCACTATTGTGGATTGGGAATTATAGACATGCCCACTGTCCACTCCCTTCTATTACTATGAATTAAATATTTTCAAGTAGATTTAAATGAAACTTTACATCCATTGGATCCAAATTATTTTAGTAATGTTATATATTGATTTCCAGTCAAATGTTCTTGTTACAACTGGAAAACCTAGAAGGATGGTTGAGATTCAACTTGGAAGTATCTTTATGTGGTTTTTGAGTTGTGGAATTCTCTTTTAAAACTCATTGCTTTGGACAGCCAGGAGTTCAATTCATATACTCTTCATTCGTGCTCCTTTTGAATTTCAAATTCATATTTCTTTCTCAATTTTTTTCTTCATTTTATTTGTTCTTCAATAGTTAGTAAAACTATACTTCATGAAACTCAAATCATAATATACACATAAAAAGAAGATTGCCTTTGCTTCATTACTACAATGTGGCATTTCTATGTGGGTTTTGGATTGGTGTGGAATTCTTTTGCTTCTATGTTATGTCTCTTGTCTTATGCTACAAATATCTTTTAAAAGTGTAAGATTCTATGCTACCTTGGTATCTTAGACTGTTTTTTGAAGTATGGAGAGATTCGACTTTATGAAATAAATTATATTAGATAATTAATACCATTTATGAAGATATTGTAGGATCATTTTAAAAGATAGATTATAACATTTGCACTGCCCAATTTATTTTCTAGTGAACAGTTGTTTTACCTTTATATATACATTATTAAAATTCAAAGCTTCTTATTTCTTGATGAGTTGACTCATTTCTTTAAGTAATAAATTTGATTGTCTTTTCTTCTTAGATGAGTGAACCCTCTTCCTTTGTCATTCAAATTCTAGGGGACAAACCTTTTTGGTCAATGAGCAGTTTCTCATATCTAGTGATTTCACCTACTTAGTCATTTCTAATATCAAGTGAGCCAACACACCCCTTATAAGAAAGTGAATAAAAGAGACTTTGCAAGCCTAGTTGGTAAGAGATTTTGACATAAAAATTACCATATTACCCTTACATGGTGTCTTTCTTTTGGTAAGTATACAATTGACATAACTACGTGAATACACTCGTGAGTTGATTCCTTTTGTGAAATAGAAAGAGACACTATCGGTTGTGCATTTAGTCATGAAATCTCATTGAACCTTTCTAACAGCCATTCAAATATATTGGGAGATTTTTCATACATTATCAACATAACTTTATAATATAAAATCACTATTTAACCCTTCTATATATCTTGTCATCATCAAACGTGTAAAGAATTCCAAAGCCAAAAGTTACATTATTTGGGATCTTAAACATGATATGCTACACTTTTGTATTAAAAAAAATTTAAATACTAAGAAATTAATGTTGATTTACTAGGCCATTTTATGATTTAAACTTCTTGTACAAAGATATTATTGAAATGAAATACATTATTGTACAACCTAAATCTTGAAATATTCCTAATCATGCATTACTATATTACACAATATTTGCTATGATATAGTGTGCTATTTTATTACATAAAATTATTATTTTTTTAATTTCAAACTTTTAACTTATACACATTTCAAAATTTTCCAAACTCAACAAGGTTGGCATTGTGTTCCCCTTAAGGGTTGGACTTTCTCTTTTTTCACATTTTGTTTTACTTTTTGGGGTAGAGAATTTATGTAGCTTTACTTTTATATGTGATTTAAATTTACACTAATACAAAAACTTATTTGGATCAATATTTTCATCAAATTCATTTTTAAAAATCATTTTTGTTACCTTATAGGGATATTTGATATCATCAACTACTAGTTTTGGTATAAGGAATTTTATTTCCCTACCCAAAACTCATGTAAATGATCAACATATATTAGTCAATAATTTGGAAGTTTTGTAGTCATTCAAAACAACAAATTTCTAGTTGAAGTTAGTGAAAAAATAGTAATAACATAGGATAAAATAAAAATCGGTCATAAATATATTCTTGTTACATGAATGGCTAGATGAGCATCCAGATTATTAGATCCAATCAATTTTCTATTTACTAAAAAAAATATTATGAAAATAGATCTAAAAAAAGAGCATTAAATTATAAATAAAAGAAAAATATTTACAACACAAGAATAATGAGATGGAAAAAGAAAAGTGACTCAAGCCTTTATGAGTCAACCTATGAGTTGACCCAAGTGAATCAACACAATGAGTTTAGTAACCAATGAATTACATCAAGAAAGAGAAAATAACACCAAGCAAGTCAACTTGATAACTTTTTGTTTAAACAGAAAGAGAAAAAGTAAGATTCAACTCTTTGACAAAAAATATGTTAGACAGTTCATACATTATTGACATGTTCAAGGTATCTCTCTCAAGTATCCATTATCTTATGCTTTTTCATTAATACTTTTTAGCATCAAGACAAGAAGAATTTTGATTGAAGTTCAAAGCTCAAGTTGCAATGGCAAAGATGAGTGTTGTATTTAAGGTTGAACTTAGGTCAATTTTTTTTAACTTGGCCTAAATTTTGACTTTGGGTCAACTGTTCCTATTTTATTAATATTTATTTTTGATTTTTAATTTCAGTAAATCTTTGACATCTAAATCTTGATGATACTAATATATTTTATAGTGATTTGGACCCTTGCATATGTCTTGTCTCTAAGAACACCCCATTCTTGAGTTTCACTAAATCAATATTCGACGACAACTATTGACTATTAGACTTAAGTCTTTTAGAATTTCAACCCAGATTTCATTCTAAAATTGAAACTGTTTTTTATGAATTCAAGAGAACAGGATATTTAAAAAGTGATTGTTGTGAATTCAAAATGGAAAGAAAGAAGAAGAAGGATGCAATGGCTGCAACTTGGGGCAATGAACTTGAAGCATCATCCAAATTTGAAGAAGAAAATACAAATCTATGTTCTGTAGAACAAGAATATGAGGTAATGCATGACCCCTACAATGATGAAATTAATATTGATAAGCTATATGAATTCCTGAGTGATATTACCATTTTTTTGAAGAAAATAACAGGACCTGCATAAAACATTGAATGAAAATCGTAAATTAAAGGAAAATCTCAAAATAGTTTCTGAAAAATTAGAAAATACCCAAGTCATTATCAAGGAACTAGAGTGGGGGATAAAAAAATTGACAAAAGAAAATTTAGGACATTGATCTAGATTGGAAAACTCAATGGGAAGAAGAAAGAAATTTAAAATAGGAAAAACAACGAAATTATGACAAATGAAAAATTGAAATTGATCACTACCTTGGGAAGAATAAGATATATATCATTTCTCTATTTGAATTACAGAAATTCAATGTTTGCTTAATGTGGAATGATTTATGATATTCTCTTGACATGTTGCATAGATGCTAGAACATGTAAGCATTCAGACCATTAGGAAAATGTGAAAATTGAATTTAGTTAAAAGGACTGACATATTCAAAGACTACTAATAAGTTTGTATTTGAAAATTCTATTAGTTGAAAATTGGTTAGAAAATGTCACAAATTGAAATATATGGTCACAATGTCAGAACCACACAACCATTAAAATTATTCCACAATGATTTTTTTAGCTCAACCAAGATAACTAGACTAGGATGAAGATAGGATGTAGTTTTATATGATTTCATGAGAATTTCTTGGTTATTATGATTTAATCATAAGGATGAGACCTTTGACATATTTAAGAATTTTAGTAGAAAATTGAGAATGAAAGAAGATTTCAAATCAAGAGAATGAGAAGTAATCATGCAAGAGAATTTAAAAATATTAATTTTTCTGAATTATTTGATGATATATGGATTATTTCATGAATTCTTAAGTGCTCGAATCTAAAGAAAAATGATGTTGTTGAAATGAAGAATAAAAATCTATTGGATATATCAAAGACACGGCTAGCAGAAAGAATTTACTTAAAATTTTATTGACGTCATACATACTTCCTATTATAAATGAATCATGTGATGGTTATACTAACAGGAAGATTCCTTATGAATTATTAAAAATAAGGAAGAAAAATATTGGTTACTTTCAACTCTTTTGTAAGAATTTTTTTTCCCTTCTAAACAATGACAAACTAGGAAAATTTAATCCTGGTAGTAATAGAGATATAGTTCAAGGAAATTCAAAAAACTCTAGAGAATATAGAGTATGATAAAAAAACTCTTGTGGTAAAGGAAAAAATATTGAATATGTGTAGAAAATTAAATAAGTCTTTGTGAAAGATGTAGAATTATTGGAGACTAAATTTCAGGTCATTGTATTAAAGATGTTGGAGAATTCCCTGAAATATAAGAAAATGAAGAAAAGGATATTCTTCCATGTAAATGGGAATATGTCAAGAGTCATCCTGAAGATCAAATTCTTGGATGCACAGAAAAGAGTTTAGACGACATCAAATCTTAATAATGTAGAAAAATTGATAGTGTTGATTTTGAAATCCAACCAAGGATGGTAGAAAAACATTTGAAGGAAGAAAAATGAATTTTTGCTATGATTGAGGAGTTCAATTAGTTAAAATAAAAATAAAAATTGGACATAAGTTTCGACAAAGTATGAAATAAATCATTGATTTGAAACTAGATATATTTTAAAGAATACATTGAAAGAAAGTGTGAATTTATAAGAAATATAATTCAATCTGCTCTCAAGTTCAGCACTAGTACTTTAAAATTTCACTATCATTTTCATCAATTTGAAATATAACTAGACATGCCAAGGATCAATGATCAGGTTAAAGGAAGATTGGTCTTTAGATTAAAATATTAAACTCTTTCAATTTTGTTTAACTTGCAAGATTATTTCTTCCTAATTTATTAAATCAAAAAAACTTTTTGATAGGGATAGTAATCAGACATCATTAGAAAAAATATTTGATATCAGATTTCAGACATTTCAATGTCTGAGTAGACCTGATTTCCACCTTGATTTTGTATCACTTAGATAGAGGGGATGATTCTTAAAAATATGAACAGCCTGATGATTAAATTTTAATTGAAAGATATTTGATCAAATACGGATCCACAGTTGTCTATAAATTTTCTCACCTTTCTCAAGCTCTATCCTGAAGCCATTGTTTGTGAGTAACTTTGAAACTCTTGAAAAGAAAGTCATTTATTCAAAATGGTTTTAATCATTTATGTTTATGTGTGAATTTCATGAAGCTTCGACTATCAACTTCTTGAATCTTGACTCATTACATCTTTTCATATCTGAAAAGTTTCAAACTTGTCATACATAACGGTCAATTTATCCAACTAAAGCAACAATCTATGCTAATCTTCCAAAAACACCAACGATCCCTATAGAAATCCTTATCCTTCACAAGAAAAAGATAATAAACCTGAAGTTGAAATCACATCAGAAAAGGAAAATACTTACGGAATCACACCATATTTCTATAATTTTTCAAAAGATTATTATGTCCTCAAACCTACTCTGAAATATCATGATAAACCCCACCTTGTTATCCCATTATTGTTGAAGATTTAGGCAAACCAAATGAAGGACTTTTGATAAACAAGGAAGAAAGGAATATTGGCTTGAGATTCCAGCTTGAAGGGCCAAACCAAATCTGATCTATAACTGTTTCTCATGGTATCCAAAACTAATGTTGTAATTCTCTTTAAAAAGCCTCATTGTTAGACCTAATGTAGAGACTCCTTTATCATCAGCTGATATGTTTTTATCACATAATATCTTCATCTAATCAAACTATTTGAGTTAATTATTGCTTGAATGTAATAATACCTTTTTGAATTTTTTTTGCCTCATAGTCATCTACTCATGTTAGAACTCTCAATCAAAATCTATTTCCCCCAAATCGAGTCATTTTTAAGCTCAATTCTTAATCACTATTGATAATTCTTCATCATTATAAGTTAATAATTTATTAAAACCATATTTTAAGCCTTATGATAAATACACTTATATTTATGTTAAATTATGAAAAATGATTTTTAATTATTTAATGTAAATTTTTGACTAATTATGTCATTTTATCTGAATTTATATAATTTTATAATCATATTTTTGATATAAATGAAAAGAAATAAAATAAAATAAAATAAAAATATAAAAAAGGTGGGGGGGGGGATGGTGGGGTAAACTACTGGCAACTGGAGCTGCAAGTGGGTCGAAAGCATAGTCGAATAGAGCCGTGAGTAGGGTGAGCTTGAGTGGCTAAGGACCGATAGGGGATGTGTGTCACTTCCCTTGAGCAACAAAAGAGAAGTGTGAAAACTTTTTGGTCAACAACATAACCCCATTTTGTAAAATAATTGTAAAATTGTGAGGTTCTTTCAAAGTCTATGATACACATAAAAAAGACATGTATTGATTGTTATTATCCAACTCCAATGAGGGAACACGAAAATATTACTCATAGATTATATAGTCAAGTGTGTGATATGGATATAATCTTCAACAAAGAGAGGTATGAAAACTTTTTAATTAATAAATCTCATTTCACAAACTAATTGTTTAGATCAAAGTTATTTCAAAGTCAAAGATAAGTTTTAAAAAGAAATGTATCAATTTCTATTATCCAACTCTAATGAGCAGACACAAAAATATTATTTATTTATTTCAATCAAGTCTAAGATATGAACATAATCTTCAACTAACAGAAGTGCAAAAAATTTATAATCAGTGTGATGTAACATCGTTCCACGAAGAATTTTCAATGATGAGCTTAATTGATCTTTAATTAATATTTTGAAGATTTTTTAAGATTTAAAAATGTGTTCACAAAATACATTAATTTAACAATTAGCTTAACTAATCTTTAATGAATTAAAAATGTGTTATAATGAAATTTGCAGATTCTCATATAGTTGATTAGTTAATAGAAAATTCTGAAAGTATGACGTAACTTAGTCCAACTCTTCTAATCTTTCAATTTAACTCAAAATATAGTGCAACTCAAGTCAAAAATTGAGATTTTTTCAACACTTACAACTTGTAGATAAACCAAATGAGTTATGTCCTATTTGGAATAATTTCTTGAATAATTTATAGAATCCTTTTGTTTAATTGAGTAAATCCACGAATGAAACTAAACTATTTTATTTCATGCAATATAATGCATAAATATTATAAGTAACTTCAACTCAATTGAAACCTATTTAAACATCACATGTTGAACTTCAGACCATTATGACTGTGAGTGCAAAGAGAGTATTCATATAAAAGAGTATTATACCTTATATATATAAGGAGAGAGAAAGAGAGAGATACAATAAGATATAATTAGGCCCATTAGGCCCACTCACACTCCCCCTCAAGTTTGGAGGTTAAATGTATAACATTTCTAATGTACTATATAGAGAGCATCATAAGATATCCCACTTAGACTCTTGGTAAAAATATATGCCAATTACTTTGAGAATACGACATATGGTGTTGTGATGAGTCTTTTGAGGACTTTGTCGTAGACATAGTGACAATCTACCTTAATGTGCTTTGTACACTAATGAAATGTTGAGTTGCTTGTGATAAAGATTGTTGAATAATTGTTGCAATACATAGGCAGAAGAGTATGTACTGAACAAGATAACTCATAAAGAAGTGAATGTATCCACATCATTTCACATGTTGTATTCATTATAGTCTTATATTTTGCTTCAACACTAGAATGAGAGACCACATTTTATATCTTGTTATGCCAAATGACAAGGTTCACTCCAAGCATGTAATACCCATATGCAGATTTTCAATCACCTTTGTCACTTACATAGTCATAATCTAAGTCTCAATTTAAAGATATCCATGTTTCTGATATACCAAAACTTGTCTCTAGAGCATGTTTGACGTATGCCAACATTGTTAGTGCTCTTAACCAATGTGTTTGTTGCAGCTCATATATCAGTTGATTGAAAAGTCTCACAGTGTAGACAATATTAAGGTGGGTGACTGTCAAGTAAGTTAACTTCCCAATCAATTGTTAATACTGATTAACATCCTCAAGGAGAGGAGATGTGATGTTTCAAAAATTAGGTCATATATCAATTAGTAATAACTTGGGTTTACACCCTAATAGATTGTCATCTTCACACATATTTAACACATACTTACATTAGGATAGAACTATTTCTCTATGCTGATAAATGAACTTGATCCTTAAAAAGTAGTGAGGTTTGCATGTATCTTAAGTAACGAAATATTCATTTAGTTGAGCCTTGGTCTGTGTAATATTAGCCATGATAGAGTTTGTGAGAAGGATATCATCGACATAAACTATTAGAATGATACTCCTAGTAGTAATATGTTTGCAAAAGATAGTAGGGTTTATTGTGCACATCGCGAACCTGTGAATAGTCAGGATTTGACTAAACTTGACAAACCATGTCCAAGGACTCTATTTGAGTCCATAGATAGCCCACTTGAGAAAGTATACTTAAGATGACTCTCATCGAGTAGCATACCTTAAAGGTTGTTCATGAAGACTTGCTAGATTAGGCCTCCATAGAGAAAGATATATGAGATATCAAGTTGTGTGAGCGTTCAGCCCTAGTTGAGAGTCAAGGAGAGTAGTACATAGATAGTGTTGAGGTGAACAATTAGAGAAAAATTTTCTTGATAGTTCATGCTATATGTATGAGAGAAGCCCCTAGC